TATGCCTCATTCTTTCAAATCATTCATTTCATATTTCAGCTCAAGTTGAGTTTTAATTTGAAATACCCATGCTTTCTAATTATTTATAAATAATAAATAAAAAATATAAAACAAATAAGTATTAAAATCCTTCTGTTGTATATTAATTGATATAGATTATTGGTAACTTTTTCTTTGATAAAACCTTAGCTAAATAGATAGGTGTCAATTTTTTTGTATCATTAATATAAAACTTGCTTGAAGCCATATTGGGCTTTTTTTAGATGACATTTTTTTCCTAATCCACTTGAATTTTCTTTTCTAATTGAAGTATGAAAAGTTCTTCTTCAAGGTCTCTATAAAAAATAAAAAATAAAATAAAATAAAAAACTTAACATTCATATAATTGAGGTCCCATTTATTATGAGCTACAATAGCTATTAGTTCCTTAATAATTTTCCACCATGCTATTGGTGCAAATATCTCTTCAAAATTAATTCCTTTAGTCTATTCAAATTCTTGTGCCACCAACCTCATTTTCTTGAGGAGTATGCTGTCATCAAGATTTTTTTTTATTGTATAAATCTATTTTGTAGAAATTGATTCATAACCAATAAGTAAGTAAATTAATTTCTATGTATGATTTCTTCTTATTACATCTATCTTAATCTCTATAACATCCCTCTTTTCTTATCTTGATTGGTTTTGTGAAAGAAAACAAATTCAATTCCTATTGCAAGTGCCTCAACTAATATCACCCAATAATCATGATCACTTCTTTATTAATACTCATTTAGTTTATAATTAATACATATATTTTTTCTTATAGGTCTTGTATTGGTCATGCTAAGGTATTTTTAGTATGTAAGCATTGCACACAATTCTTGTTTATTAAAGATTGAAAGATTTTTACTAGATTTCTTTCTTATTGGATTGACATGTGAATTGTCATTTAGATATAATAGATCTAAGGACTCAAGAATTTGTTGTAAGTTGCCTTTAGATGTAGATACATGATTTGTTGGTTGTAAATTTGTCTTTTCAATCTTATGTTTTTTTTTTTTTGGTATATAATTGATACCAAAAGAAACCAATATGATAATACTTATTTTTCTAAGAAGGTAAGTTGCCTCAAATAATTCCTTTATCAAATTAAATATCTTAAGAAAGAATCAGCTTCTTCTTTATAACGTCAAAATATATATATATATATATATATATATATATATATATATATATTAGAGGTTTCATTATATTCCACAAACTTATAAATCATAGCTTTGGATTTTAGTTTAGGCTGATAGATTTTATTATATATATAGATTGTACATCTAAAATAAGGTTTAATCTTAAATAATTTTTTATGTGGAATAATTCTATTGGTTGTTTTTGTGGAGGACACATTAGTTAGTTGAGTAGGTGTAAGTATAATTTTAATCTAGAAACAATCTAGTGCTTGAGCCATGATTATCATGTTGTTGCAACTTTTTGATAAAAATATGATTCTTCTATTTATAAACTTAATTTTAATGGAATTTGAATAGGGTTGTTAATTCCATTTTGATCTCAAGACTATTAAGTAATTATTTGAACTCTTGAGACATACATTCCCTTTTATTTGTTTAAATAATTGAATATATTACTTGAATTAGTTTTCTATATGATTAAAGAGGTCTCCAAATTTATGAATGGTTTTGTCTTTAATTTTTTTGAAAGTAAATCCATATATATCTAAAATAGTCATTAATTATTGTAAAAAAATATTATAAGTCTTTTAATGACTTTATATTGATCCACATAAGACAACATGGATTAATACAAAAGATATTAGTGCCTTAAATTGGATTTTCTTTGTAGCACTTTTTTATGTATTTTTTTGAACTAACATCCTAAACATATTGTTTTTATAAGTATAAGATGAAGAATACCTACAACATGAAGTCTATGGCTCAAATGAATGAGGTTTCGATAATTCAAGTGATCCATTTTTTAATGCTAAAGCTTTATAGTGCTTTCATTTGTATCATCTTTAGTCACTAGTATATGTTCATTTCATTTATACAAATCAATAATATAATATAATGTATTAGATATTTGTACCTCCTTGAAAAGAACTTCAAATGGTGTTTTTTTGTTACTACCATGTAGCCTAAGCCATTGAAAAAGACCATATTTCCTTGATTAAAAAATTGTCTTATTAACAATAAGTTATGATTTAAACTAGATACATAACAAACATCAATAAGTTGTGTTATTTCTTCATCGGTATTACAAAACTGTGCATCTTCTTTTGTTGCTATAATATGTGATTGATTTCTTATAAATTTAACTAATGAAACATCATTTACACTAATCATCTATGAAAGATTGCTAAAATGCCTAATATAGTGATGGCTTGCACTTAAATCTATGATCCAATTTCCTCTAGTTGCTTCAGTTGCAAAAACATCTAAAATTGATTCAAATATCTCATCTTTTGAGGTGAGTGGTGTTGATTATTCTTTTTCAATAAATTCTATTATAAAATTTATAATAAATATTCTATTTGCTCCTGTTCATGCATAGTTTGGTATAGATGTTGATGCAAAGTAAACTAATTTAGGTGCATTATAATTGCATGCAATATATCTTTTTTCTAAACAATGGTGACAAATATTTTTACTTATATCAAAAGATGTGCAAGATGCAAAATTTTGATAACCATTAAAACTATTGTAATTTCTTCTTTTGAATCTACTTCATCATCAATTTTTTTAATCATGTCTTTGAAGTGTACATTAAATACTTCTTCTTTATCTTTTCTTCTATCAAATGTTTCTTGTAACATTATTTCTTTTGTAAGTAGTAGGCTAATTAGTTTATCAAGATTCAATATATGTCCTTTGTTTTAAATTGCAGCTCAAAACATATCAAACTTCTTTGGCATGCTGCAAAAGATCTTGTATAAAATTATAGATTCTTTTAAATATTCATCAATGTCCTATAGTTGGTTTAGCAACAAATTAATTTGTTAAAAGTAAGTTACTATTGTCATGTTTTCTTCCATCTTTATATTATTCTATTTATCCAAAACTATTATGTTATCTGCCATTGTCTTTGTTTCAAAGAAGGTTTGTAATTTAATCCATACCTTAAGTAGATCTTGTATTCTTTTAATCTTTTTTCTGGCAAGTTTTGTCAAAGACAAACGTAATATGTCTAATACCTTGTCTTACTTTCTTTTGTATTCTTTCAACTTAATAGGTTCAATAGGCAAATAAAAAAGCACTACACTTTGTGTTGTATCTCCATCTTCTTCAACTTCTTAAGAAGAATGAAAAAATAGTTGAAGTGCCTTCGAGTTTAGTTTATTGACCCTTGCTATGAGTTTGGCCTTAACAATCAAATCTTCAAGATCAACTACATCAAAAAGGTTATTTTTTAGCAAAACATTCATCATAACATCCCACCACTTTGCATAGTTTGAAATACCAACTAGTATTCTTGATGCAAGTATGATGTCCTTAGATAAAAAATTGCTCTAATACCATGTTAATATCACATAGTCAGACAAAAAGAGTAAAAGATAAATCACATGAGGCAAAGCCTCAACCATATATACAGAGTGTGTTGGTGGCATTCACCCACCAACTTAATTACATTAACCCTAATTATGTGAGCATACACTTAGTGTGTATACTATTACCAAGTATGTAATTTATACTAAGCGGCATGTGGAGGAGGATAATACTGGTTGCTTGAGGGAGGGAGGGGATCTGCGTGAGGGTGGTGGTGGTGATGCGGGATTCGAGAGGTTTGGTGACGACAGTGGCGTGGAATGCACTGGCCTATCTTCTTCTTCGTCCCCTCGGAGTGAGTACACATACACACTGGGATCAATCCCACGGAACGGCGCTTCCATCAAATCCACACGAGGACGGCGATGGAGGAGGAGGAGCTTAGGGAGGGAGGGCGCCTGGATTGCGTGGTCGGTGCAGGCGAGCGTCGAGTGAGGGACGAGCAAGCAGGACAGGGCCCAGTGTTTCAGTCTCAGTGCGGTGGTGTACTGCTGGATCCCACATCGCCGCGAGGGGAGCGGGATGGATGGCTTGCGGTGGGAGGCAGGGAGGCAGACAGGGAGGGATCAGAGTGGGAGGGGTGGCGTCATCGCTGCATCGGTCCATGGAGCTGCGCTTCAGCCCACCTATCTGCTGCAGCAGGAGGATCATCCTGCGTGGGTGCCATGGTCAACACACGATCTGCTCAGACTCTTGTCGTTGCTTGTGGGCCGTGTCTGTGGTCAGATCTGCCAGGCGGACTGGGTTCCGTAACCTCGGACATCGAGAAAGGGCTCTTGGTTCCTGATGGTTTACTCCATTTGGTGCAGTATTTAACAAGTTTCATTCGCATTTCGATATATATATATATATATATATTTATCTGTGCAACGAATAATATGATTAAATATATATATATATATATATATATATATATAGATATAAATTTATGAAGTTTGTCTGAAGACTTCAACTAAACAATGCTCGGCAGATGGATCGACGTATCAAATTTGTAGTGAGCAAAATAAAACCACAAATTACAGTATCCTTATAGGAAAGAAAGTTGCTCAAACCAATTTTAGTGTATGAATATGCATATATATATGTATGTATGTATATATACATATATATATATATATATATATATATCAGTGTTAGTCATCGTTTGTTTTTTGTTTTTTGTTTTGTTTTTTATTTATTTTATTTTACGTATATGATTGTTGTTAAAATTGTTATTATTCTGTTCTTGTTGTTTTCCGCAAAAATCGTACTATGTTTCTGGAGCTTCAGTTGCAGAATCCTGATCAGTGTAAGCCAAGCAAGCACGGCAGTACGAGCAGGCAGGGTGGGGACGACTCGGGGAATTTTTCTAGCCACTGGTGTCGAAGACGGATGAGTGGCAATTCCATCATCACCACTACCACATTTGATGGCACGTCACGGAAGACAAGATTAGGCGCGTTCAGTGCTCGATTAGCCCGACGGGTGCAGCATGATACTTATCCTCAGGGTGACACCTACATGGACCTGCAGCTACAGCAAGTTTAGGGTCCTGATGTGGTACAAAAATGAAGCTGCGACGCCGGATCCTTATCATGCAGTTTGTTGCAGGGCCCTGGAGCTCACACAAGGGTGCGCGCTGTGTCGCATTACTTGTTCGTAATCTTTTCTAACCGTCACTGCATGTGACAAACTGCCCCCACAGGCTCTGAGGTCAGTTCAGACGCTTGTCCAGGCCTCCGATGGCTCGTGCTCAAATGAGGTGGATCTCTTGTCAATTCACAATTGCGCTCTGCATCGTGACCGTCACTTTGCCGCAAGTCGTTCCTGCCTCTGGTGCTGCTCGGGATGTGACAGTAGACGCCGTTAGATTTCTCGGTAAACGTAGTTCTTACTTGTGCTTTTTTGGGGTACTAGTATGAGTGCAGGGCTTTCCACAGCCTGGTGCAGTCGAGAGCAACGGAAGAGGCATAATTGGAGTGCGCAGAGAAAAACACAAAAGAAGTCTTTCTAAAAGATTTGTCGATTCGTTGTCTTCTTGCGATTTGAGTCTCTGCTTATCAGTCTGTAATCCTTGAGCAGAGGCAATGGTCTTCATCTTGGCCCTAGATGTGAGTCAACCTGAAGCGGATTTATCTCGAAGACTAGCACGCTTTCTCGGGCGCTGTCTTGCTACGTTACACTATCACCGTGCCAATCTAACAAAACCTCTCTGGCATTTCTTCTTTGCAGGCTTCCAAAGAAAGCATTACCTTCGAAGTGAGATGGTATGCACCTGCTCCAATGTTCTGACCGAGAGGAAGCAACGCAGGGGAGTAGAGAACATCAGTTTAGCATTGCTTCTTCCTAACCTTTGACTACATCCACAGTATTGATATGCTTCATGTTTGAATCATATGCAGATTCCAGCAAGAGAAGGTTGGCATGTGACGGTTTGGCAAGACTCACCACTGCAGGATCCGGAACTGTCGTTGGACGAGAGCAGCTCTGAGGCAAATCTCGTGGAGGGGCGAGAGCTATTTGAATTTGCGGCTGATTATGAAAAACCTTGCGCTAATAAGAAGCACGATCCATCAGTCTGCAAAAACGGTTAACAAAAGTACAAGACCATTGCCAGTAAGCAAAGGTTAGAGATTCCCCACCAGCAATAGAATCGATATCGTGATTTCCTCGTTCCTTCGTCAAAAAGTGTTCGATAGTTTGCATGGTGACTGGAACTATCGCAGTCCTTCAAATTACAACTTCATAGCACAGACAGAGAATCTCTGAATTTTGTATATTAAAGCACACGAGCCTTTAGAAGCGCGTTTATATATAACACTTTCTCTCTGTTTCTCGATGTATGTATGTATATATATATATATATATATATATATCAATAGATAAGTCAGAACATGTATTTTAGGTGACGTTAAAACTAGTACTAGTTTAACGGAGCGGAAGGTCCTTCGCGATGAAAGTTGTGCTTTCCACACCAATGATAATTGCAGAAGCAACTTCATTGTCTCGAGGAGACATGGGACGCAATTTTCTGATGAATGACTAAACATTGACATTCTTATTTTTCCATTTTTCCTGAAGGAATGAACCTAAGAATATAAAAGCAAAGTGATGAAAAAAAAAGACAGTATTCAAGATCTGTGTTGATCCCTCAAGTATCCAAAAACCTCTTGAAGTGTCGGAGCAGCTGCAGTTGGTATTGCAACTAACTACTCTTAATCACATGTGAAAGTATTGTGGGAGTGGTTCTCAGTGAATGCATAGTACAGTTGTGGATTAACCGAAAAGATAAAAATGAAAACATGCAAGACTTGCAACCCCATTGCAAATTTCTGAGATACACTTGTCTCTGTGTGTGTGTGTGTGTGTGTGTGTGTTAGTATGTACGAATTTATTACTTTGTTTTGGTTTAGTCATTTGTTGCTATCAGGAATTAATTGTATTTTGATGGACTATGTGTGCATGATAGGAATAGGATACGTACATATGAAATTAATTAATTTTGACAAATTAATGATGAGAAATCTACTCTCGTAGATTGAGGTTTTCTCACATGATTTCTGTAGTGGTTTCTGATGTGAACTATTCAGCACAACTTTATACAGATGATCTTTCAACTCTATCAATTTTGCAAATGCTGAATCAAAATTTATGTTAAAAATGTGCATACAATCTATTCCAAAAGCCTTAACACAATTTAACACATGACTTTTAAATTCATTATTATCATGATTTTTATAATTTATAATTTTAAAAACCATCTAATATTAAATGTGTGTTTGAATCTCAATTAATTAATATTTAATTTGAATTCTTCTATAAAACATGAATATTTTTATCATGCTTCATATATGATGTTTAAATTTGTACATATAACTAACTAAAAAAATATTTTGATTAGATTTATTATTTAAACGTTGAAATATAGAATCTTTACAAATTTCACTAAAAGATTATATAATAACATTATAAGCTTTATAAATAATTATTTTAGATTCTAAGAATAAAATGAAACATGATGAAAATTCAAAATAATCTTATGAAAGTATTTCATGATAATAAAGTCTATTTCTTTATTTATAATCTATTTCTATAAAAGAAATTAATAATTTATTTATGACATCTTAATACATTATTTTTATCTTAAATAATAGAACAAATATTTTATAAAATGTATACATAAAAATTTATATGTATAATTATACCTTGTATAATTAATAACTTTTGACTAATATTCCTTTTTAGTTGATATTATTTTCTAAAATGCAAGTTTTTTTTAAGATTGTGAATTTATATCCTTGATTTTAAATAAATAAATATAAATTAATATAAATTAAATTTTAGATATTAAAAAAAGAATTGGGTAAGAAATTCTATCATTTAAGTCTTGATTTTTTATGCAATAAAAATTCAAATGTGGATATGACAATATTAGAGATCATCCAAATTTTAATGGAAAAAATTATCTTTTATTTTGTCAAAATTCTAATATATCAAGGTTTTGTGATTCTTGCAAGCTTGATTAATCTAGTGCAAGAATTAATATATCAACCTTGGATTGGTTTTATGTCTAGGTTTTTACATGTTTTGCTATCAAAAGGTATCTATTTGTGAAAGTAAAGATGGAAGTTGAGATTGTGGAAGCCCACTACATGCAAGGCTATTAACAATCCATTAATAGTTTATGCTTCTACTTTCTACAAAATATAATCAAAGAATGAGAATTGAATACACAAGTGACAATGTACTTAGACATGGATAATTGTATAATTCAAGTATCTTTTAAGTATAAAAAAATGCATTTTTTAGACTATTTGTCTTAGTAATAATAAAGTTCTAGTTTGATCAAAAGAGTCTATAATGATTAGAAAAGTGATATAATTGATGTGAATTTAATTTTGATGGAAAACCTTATACTAAATTTTAGAGAAATAAAAAAAAATGATCACAGTTGTTGTTTATGAGCTAACCAAACTTAGCAAACTAGCCAATAATTTATTAATGCTAGTAAAGACATTGATGTTTATAAATTTAGAGGAAGAGCAGAAGAAGGTGGGTTGATGAGAGACAACAAATATTTTATAATAGAGCAATTGATAAAATTCTTTTATAATACAAAATAATATATTTAAAAACTTAAAATAAAATTTAGAAATATTAATAAAAACGTAATAATAAATAACATCTTACAATATAAATTATCTAAATTAAAATTATTTTAAAAAAAATCAAACTATATAATGTATGTAGAACTAATTTATCTTGGTTTTTATTATGTATTGCATTTTAAAATTAATCATTGAATGTCATAATTAAACTTACAAATTTAAATAAATATTAAAAGATGTAAAAAAAATAAAGGAGGTCAAAATTACCTGTAAAGCATGTATGTTGTTACTTTCTTAATTTTTAATTGTTGTGGCTTCGATCTCGCATCTCATCGCATCGCATCGCAACGAGCCTTTGTTCTGCTTGCAACATGGCCATGGCCGCAAGCCAGTCTACCTTTGAAGTCGGCGGCGGTGGCGCCGCTTTGATTGAACTGTTTTTGTGCGTTGATTACCGAGTTGAGTATCCTTTATATGTGTAAGTTTCTAGTCCTTTCTGATGAAGAAGAAGAAGTTTCAATTTGCTTGTTGATATTGCTCCGCACGCAAGGGAACGGAGCAATCAGCACCATGGTCGATGTCACACTTCGCTTGTCCGCAGGGCAACCGTTGTGTACGCCATTGTCGAGATCCATCGATCTTTCATGAAGATATCGCGACCCCTACTTTTCAGACGCATCGAAGTATCTGCAACTGTCCACCTCGGAGAAAGTTCTAGACAGCTCAATTAATGCTGCACAAGAGGGCACCTCCTTCTGCCGTTCTTTTGCCACCTCGCCGATTTTCACTAGCCCATTTGCCTGCACGAGTTCTCGCTCCTCCATGTGTAAAAGTAACGTGGGACTCGGTGATGAGAATGCCCCCACGAAGCAACCGTCCTGAATGGGCGTGTCGGCGCAGGTCACACTCTGTTACCCTCGACTGAATCGATTCGGCCCTAATTGAAACCGTCTCACGTACCGACTGCAGTAGCAATCAACGAGTTTCTATTTTAATCTAAAACGGAGGCTGCTGGTTTTGCGCTACACTTTGCATCCGAACCGTTAACAGAGTCACCGGAATCTCAGCAACCAGCGGAGGTGAAGGAGCGCAGGGGGTTCGGTCCAACGAAGACGAATCTAGAAATCATATGGGCGATCCTCTCTTTTTCCCGAAACACGAAAGAGAGGAACTCAAGGTACGTGGCAACATCCAGAGCTCTTCGTGTCCGTCATTGTGCCGCTACAAAGACCGCTTTACGCTTCCGCAGTTGCAGTCGTGGCACAGTTACTATGAAATTCACTGCTTCAAGAGCAATACTTTTACCAGTTCCGCAGAACTCCGTCCAGACTGCACCGGACTTAGTTACTCATTCCCACGACAAAGCAAGCAAAAAGGACTCATCCATCCGGGCAGCCTCAGTTTTATCAGTTGCTGGGCAGCGGGTGGATCGCTTCTAGGTTCGCGGGGCATTCTGATCTAAGCACCGACTGCGTCGTCGTCGTCGTCGTCTTCGTGTCTGAATTCAGTGCTGAGGTTGCACTTAGTGTCTTCTTTTGCGACAATGCTTTGCAGCGGTGTTCTCGGCGGTGAAAGGTAATGTTTTGCAGATCTTCTGTGCATGGGGCGAAATGTACACAGAAAAAGAGCAGTTTGTGAATACAAACTCACGCACTCACTCATTCCAAAGAATACTCCAAAACATGGTTTACTCTTTGCTTTACCGAAACCAATGTTGTCCATTTGCTGAAACAATAGTGTTGTATGGTTTGTCAAGTTGACACGAAATTGTCACTCTCCTTGAAATTTGTGTCTTAGGGAGGAGATTAATTGTAAAGATAAAGGAGCCCAAAAGTCATGAATTTGGCAAGTAATCACCTCTTTTCAGTTGTTGTTTAAAGATTTAATTTGTTAAAGATTCCAATTTTGCTAAATGAAAGTAAGGGAATCATTAAACTGACCCAAACTTTTACAAAATTGACCCACCCATCTTAACCATCATCAAAAAAAAATTCTCCACTACAAGATCCTCATTGGTCAAAAACCAATAAAAATATTGATGATGGGTGGATAAATTTAGTAATTCATTTTCCCATATTAAAAATAATAACATTTATAATTGATTGTAGATCTTATACGTATTTATGAATATTAGAAAAAACCAACACAGTTAATTCTCTATTTAACTATAAATGATGTATATTTTTATTTAAAAAAAAAAAAAAAAAAAAAAAGGCTATCAAAATACACACCATAGTTTTAATTTTTAATTTTTTCAATATGTAAAAAAATCATGACTTGTTATACTATATATATATTATTGTGCAAGAGTACTTGGTCTTTTGTAATTATTGTTTTTAATTATTTTAATGAGTAATTTTTAAAAGAACTGAAATAAAAAATAAAGTTATGAATTATCAATATTTTCTAAAAAAAATGAAAAAAAAAAATGTATTTTGAGATTTACTACTAAAATTATATAAAAATATATATAAAAAAACAAAGACTCCAGTATAATTTGCAGAAATTGTTACAGTTAATGTTTTCATATGATTCGATGTCTTTCCTATGAATGACTACTTTAAAAAAGTAAAAATAAACAAAAATAAACAAAACAAAACAAAACACTTAAATTTATAAGGCGATAGAGTTTTTTTTGTTTTTGTATTTTCTGGAACACATTCAATTAATTTAATTGATTTATAATTCCTTCAGACCTTCATTCATAATATTTGTTAAATTGTACTTATTTTGATTCTTGAACATTTCTATTTAATAAATAAATTGTTGGCTTTTGTTTAATTTGTTAATAATTTTTTTCGGTACTTAGTTTCTTGTGAATATTCTATTAATATACATGTATATGATATATTTTCATTGGTAGATTTGCACCATTTATTTTATTCAAATCAGGATGCTAACCACTATACTAAGCCTTACTGTTGTGCACTGAATATGTGGTAATGTATTCTAACAAAAAAGTATCAAAAAAAATAAAAATTAAATAAAAACTAAATAAAAAATTAATTGATTTTTATAACACTTTAAAGATGTTGTTATCACTATTTATCTCTCTATGTAGGATAATATAATAATAAAAAAGTATTATTATTATTATTTTAAAAAAAAATTAAACAAGATGGTAGTTGCGATGGTCTAAGCAATTCATCTTAAAACTATGTTTATTTGTAAGGAAGATATTCTATACTCAATTTCAGTGAATAATCTTAGGAGGCAGAATTTTCAACTATTCCACACTCCAAATTTCACTATGTAATTTTCATATATTGTTTTTTTAATTATGCACGTTGTATCTCACAGCATGCTACACAAGGCCAATCGACCCAGCATCCAAATATTACAGTCCCTCATTTTTTACCTAAATTTTCATGATACAATAATATGGAACTTACAATGAAATCAAACAAGAAAAAAAAAAAAATATATATATATATATATATATATATATATATATATATATAATATAATAAAATAAAACTTAGAAGTAATGAAGTTAACACATCATATCCTAAACAACATTAATGATCTTAAAAATAATATAAACAACACACAAAGTTTCAAAAAAACTAAAATAAAAAAAAATAATCAATTTTAATAACCATCACAACTGCTTCCAGAACAGATATATATATATATATATATATATATATATTATTTCTAACTCTGCCCAGCGCTGCCCAAACCCTGCTGCCCCAAACCCCTCGGGGCAGAGGTAAGGCTCTGCCCGGCAGACCGGGCACGCCAGCCAAGATGAATGAATAAGAAGACGTATTCGTTCATTCATCCACATGTAAGCAGGTGTTCTTCCTGGCCATTCCTTTGTTCCTGTGGTGCGACTCTATTGCTCATCTTTTCGTGAGCTCGGCTTCATTTGCATCGAAAGAAATCCAACAATTTGGGTATCTCGGCTACTGGATTGGATTAACTCAGTTGATGGATTAACGCTTTATTTAGACTTCGTATTAGTGCGATACGTCGCTGAATTCGTAAATCTGTGCATTGCAGCAGATTCATTCGCTTCCTATTCACGCCACTTCGAGCTGCATATCCTCTTTTTGTTTTTTGCTTTGATTCTGTTTCTGCAGAGCGTTACACTTCAGCAGAATCGATCCTGCAAGTTAGTTTTGAGATTCCATTCGAAGTACTGTTTGAGAAAATTTTGTTTTCTATTGAGAGAAGAAGAATTCTAAGTGTGCGACATCAGGGGAACCTCAGCCAGCAGCCATGGAAGTTGCGCAGCGAGCTCTCTTCGCGGGGGATGGCGTTGCGGAGCGGTTAATTTCACGCAGCAATGCACAGGTTGGAATTTGGATGCTGGAGCTTGAGTCGCTGCGTTGTGCCGGAAATTTAATGTGTATCATGCATGTCATGGATTGTGGTCGGGGTGTAGGGTTTGCTTGATAAGAGGAGAACACAGATAGGTTGGAGTACCTTAATTATCAATTGGAAGTGGGAATTTTTTTGTTTACAGGTTTTAAGCGTTGGTCTTCCCTCATCTGGTTTTGTAATTTTTGAGAGTGATCAGATTGACGTGTTTTGGAAGGAGTATTGTTAGTGAATCCAGCTGATGCCTTCTCTCTAGTTAGTTTACAGAGCATAGCAATTGATTGTAGAAATGTCAGCTGATTCCCTCTTTGTTTTCTTTTTCCTGTTTTCTTCTTGGGTTGGATCTGCAGCAGGGCTGTCCCGGAAAACACTCGAGTATTGTCAGTGTATCGGGGAGAAGAGTTCAGATCGCCACTAGACAATCTGCAAGAAACTCTCGGTTGTGCTGCTCAAGGTCCGGGCAGCTAAAGGTGTTAAGCTTGAACAAATATCTGAGAGTACCTCACAAACATTCGAACAGTTTTTTGAGTGGTTCCAGTAGCTCGCAAACTGGTTTCATAACTGCGGATTCTAAGAGAAGGAATCGAATCTCGGTTGTATCTGCAGGTGCGTTTCCTGTTTTAGAAACCCCCTATTTGGCGAAGACCCAAAAGTATAGGGATAAACTGTTGGTGCAAGATTAATAAGAACTTTGAATTCGAACTCAACCATGATTTATAAGAAGTTAATATATTAGAACAGGCGTTTGTTGTTCTTTATAATCAAACGTTCTGAAGCAGTTTTTATTATCTTTTCCTAGTCTAAAATTCAACAACTGCCACAGCCCGAATAAAAGGTTTTGTTTTCGCGAGTTACAAATCAGGAATGTGTTTTTGCTGACGGGCCTTTTTCGTTTGAGGATGACAGGGTTGACGACAGATTCTGGAACTGCAGATGAATCCAAAGAAGCAGAACTTGCTTCAGCTTTGCAGAAGATTGTGTCGGATCCGCAAGACATTGGCTTCTCAACTGGGTCTAGGACTGTTACCATCACGTATGCGATTCTTTTCTTTTTCAGTTGTGTGACAGCATTATTACCATGCGCGTTAAAAGATATACTCAGTTCTTTTTAACTTTAGAGTGATTTAGCTCTCTTTTGACTGTCTTTTGGTAGTAATGAAGTGTTGAGAGGAAGTGTTACCAGGCAAATTTGCGGTAATTTTCTGAAGACTGGTCATTTATGCATGCAGTGTTTGCGGTGTCCTCAACGACAATGACCTTCGAAGGTAGATGCACTAATTACTATTTTTGGTTTCCTTTCATCTGTAATTCGAATTGCTAGCTTCTGTTGGACGATTCTCTTTGGTTTTCTCCTCCTGGTTCCTGGCCTCACTTGTTAACCATGTCCTTCATTTGGCAGGTTGAAGTCACAAGTTGAGGATCTTGATGGGGTTGGTAATGCGCGGATTGGTACCTTGAAGGAAGGAGGTGTAAGAGGAGGTTCAGTTGCTATGGAAATTGACGTGGAGAAGAGAGTGCCGCTGCCTGCTTTGATTCAGAGCGTTCAGGCGTTGGATGAAGCTCTTCTGATATTACCTTTCAAGTCAGCCTCGTGGATTTGGCGGTAAAGTCTTTGCATTACCTTTGTGTCTGTTGAAAACAGAAGATGATATCTTATATCTTGACATTTCCCTTATTATCCAAGTGGTTCGACAGAAAGTTTGTTGATTGATTTTTATCTACAAAGGTCTACCTCTGCGTATGTTTACATGCTTTTACCAGGTTTTCTCGAATGTTTTCAACTCATATACAGATCCTTTGGTCATGCAGAGGAAACAAAATTAATTATTCCGTGTCTGGGTTTGGCAAGCCGCTTATTCTTGTGCATGGATTCGGTATGCTGTTTTTTCCGTCTATGCTCTGAGTTAAAGCTTGCAATAATATTTCGTGTCCAAGAATTTAGTCTATCTTGTCTTATTATTCTATTCATGGCAACTTTATATTTCGAGTATGTAGATAATGTATGAAAATAAATACTTCTAACTTGCCAACACCTTGATGAATTGAATTTTCAGGAGGAAATGCGGGGCATTTTGCCCGGTTGATTCCCTTTCTGGCGGAGAACCATCGAGTTTACGCAATCGATCTGTTGGGATTTGGCGCATCAGATAAACCTTCTAATACCGAATATGGGCCCGAGCTGTGGGCAGACCTTGTTTGTGGTGCGCTATCATACCTTTTGAAGTCGTCAAGTTTTGTATGAACTTAATTAGAAATTTTCCCTTGTAGAAATCTGTATTTCTTATTTTTGGGTGAATTATATATCTATATATATATATATATATATATATATGTTTTATTACCCCACTTGCTGTTTCCGCTTACTTGTTTAGTTAGTAAAACTAGTACTGATCGGACTGTTTCCTATTCTTATTTTCAGATTTTGCAAAGGAGTTTGCTTCTGAAGGTTCGGTATTATTTGGTAATTCAATCGGTTCGCTAGCTGTGTTAGCATCGGCTGCAAAAGCGGGTTCTGATCTATTCACGTAAGTCACTTGACATGAGTGCTTATGTTTGATATACATACACACTACTTTTGATATGCGTGCTCTTGTACGTAATCTTCTTTGGTTTACAAACTGTATTGAAGGCTGCCTGGGTTGGCATTATACTTAATGTCTTTTTATCTTATGCGGAAAATTTGAGCACGGGTTGGTGTTATGTCGAGTGTTTCTCATACTTGTGTTTGTGATGGCAGTGGTATTGTTCTATTGAATTGTGCTGGGGCAATGAACAGGAAAGGTCTTGCGCAAGATGGTTTGGCGCTTCGGCTTGTTGCACCCATTTTTATTGTAGTAGAGTACCTGCTGCAACAACCTAAAATTGCGAACTTTTTATTCAACAAGTAATTGCTCATTCTCTTTCATCTCTCTAATGTTTTGGAAACTCCTTCCAACATTCCTTCAGATTCTGTGTACCGAAAAATGACTAATTTTTAGTACAATTCACCTACTCTTTCCATGTATGATCAGGTTCCGCAGCAAGGAAAATGTTAAGCAGATATTGCAGCAACAGGCCTATTGTGACAAACAAGCTGTTACTGATCAACTGGTGCAGTGATTTCTACTTTGAAACCTTGGCGATGGAGGGATTTTGTTTGTTTGTTTATAAAGATTAATCATATCATAGGGCTGTGGGTAGTAGACGTTTGATACAAATCTTCCATAGTTGCACTATACTCCGGTGTCGAGATGTTTGTGGCTGCGACGTTGTTTGTCACAATTTTGTTAACCTAGTTCATTTGCAATTTCACAGGTTGATATTCTACATCATCCCTCGACTGACGAAGGAGCGTTGGATGTTTTTGTGAAAGTCTTTACTGGAGAACCTGGCATGTTGACCATCCCTAGCTTTCTACATAGTTTTTTAGTTTGGAGCAGAAGAATGAGAGTAGTAAAGGAAATCTAGGATTCAGTTCCTATGTCAACTCATAGAGTTTTCTCAACAGATTGATTGGGTGTGCACAGGTCCTCGACCGGAAGTATTGATGCCCCAGATCGATATCCCTTTGTTGTTACTTTGGGGTGAAAAGGATCCCTGGACTCCGGCAAATGGACCAGTAAGTGCTTCAACATACTAATTGTTGGTCATTGGTCTTTCTCTTCAAATGATAAATATTTTCTTCTTAAAAAGAATCGGTTGATGCGTAGCCCAAACGATCATTATGTTTCACCATCGTTTTCACACTCATTGTACTGAAAATGAGTTCTAACTAATTCCTGTGTTCTGTTGTATCTGACAGATAGCAAAATACTTTAGAAAAATTGCAGTGGAACGTGATCATGTGTTTGTGACAACACTTCCAGATGTTGGCCACTGCCCACATGATGACAGGCCGGAGCTTGCAGCAGGAGAAATTCTACCATTCCTGGAAAAGTACAATTTATAAACTAGGAAAACCTGGAACCAATATTTTTTTTCCCTCATACAGAGCAGCTTATGCAGCATAAACCAACAAATTACAAGACTACACAGTACCATGGCTTCACAACCGGTACCCTACATCTGCTTCTTTATTAGAATGGCATGATCATTAGAGGGTCATTCAACCAATACCCAATTCTGATTGAGCCATTTCAATGATTTGTATTTACTGGAAATTAATTGCGCAGCACAGAGGATGTTAAGCTAGAAAACTGAAAAGACGGTATTGTACATATTGTTCACCACTGATATACTTGCCCAACATATTGTAGTATTTTAAGCATGTGTTTTGCATTTCGCCCTGGGGGCTGGAGATAGAAAGTTGGGAGATCGCTGGCAGTTATGGAAGCCTACTTTTACAGCTCTTGTAATACTTGAAGAATATTTGTGTACAATTATTATTTTTAAAATGAAAGAGTTTGATTTTCCTCATTTGTATCATACAATTGTATACAATGTATGTGTATGAATACATATTATTCTGTAAGTTCAAAATATGGGTAAGATCTATTATTTTTCTTAAACAACAAATGTTTTTACACTAATACAGAAAGGAACTATCACAACTGCGGAACATCGATAGTTTCGTATTATCAAGTCACACGTTTTGAACGCTAAAAAACACCCAACCATTGAAACAATCAAACTATTATTACATTTGACTCAATTTTTAAAATTCACATACTCACATTTTAATGCTTTCTTAAAATATGAAATAATTTACAACTGCAACTGACATGAGCAAACTGTGGAGATAACACGGTATTATACGAAAGACATCGTAGATGCGCAGATAGGGGAAAATACTCATTTATCCAAAACACACATATCCATCAAATTTAACGAGATTCATCGAACGCCATTGCTCTCAAGGGATCGATAAACCCTAAATTCCCAAAACCTCTATGAGTCTTTGCCATGCCCCATTAGCGACGCAATCAAGGGGCCAGCAGCTCGCATTCGCATTTTCTCGCGTGCATTCCGGAGTGTAGGAATTGCCCTTGTATATCTCTCACCTCCACGCTCTTCTCACATTCGTCTTAGACATGGTAGCCAGAAAGAAAACGGCCGAAGGGCCGAAGAGAAAAAGCAGCGAGTCGCTGGGCGTTGAGCGTAAGAAGATGAAGCGTATCACTCCCGTGCCCTTAGACCAACCCAGTGTCTCTGTTGCTGCTCCTGGCTCGAATGCCGCTTCTCCAACAGTGACCAAGTCGAAGAAGGAATCGAAGAAGGAAAATGGTGATATTGTCAAGGCCTCGTTTATGGTGAGGAACCAAGTATTTTGTTGGGGTTTGTTTTATTTTGTTTTTTGAGCGCGGCGGGCGTATGTGGAATCGTTCTGAATGTTGTGAACGGCTTTCTGTGATGGGTTAATTCTTCATTTTTGGTCAAGTACGAAGAGTTTCTAGAGTTCGTGAAGGAATTGCTGAATTGTGCGAGTGATTTTGGTGAACTTGACAGCCTTTGGATACTACAGCGGACCTGAAGTCTGTATCGAAGCGGGAAAAGAAGAGGAAAGTCATTCCTGTCTCTAATTACGCAGATAAATCGGCTGTCATTTATGTCGGCCGAATTCCTCACGGATTTTATGAAGATCAGATGAGAGGTACTGGAACTGGGTTTTTCGCGTGCTTTCGATATCAGCTAGAGATTTGAGTAATTCTTTTAGCAACCGAAGCACTGGTGAGTTGGAACTTGGTTTCATGTGTAGTCGGTGATAAGTCTGATGCCTTTGAATCCGCAGGTTTTTTCAGTCAATTTGGAGATATCAAGCGACTTCGTCTGTCTCGAAATAAGACGGTCAGTGTTTTCTGGATGCTAGGTGTATACTACAGTCTGTTGGTACCACTAATTAAATTCACGCCTTCGGTCTGCTAGGTTTACTGGGATTGAGTGCTTAATCTAAGGTAGAAGCTTGGTGTTTTAGAGAGTGTTCGGTGTCTCAGTCGATGTTCAGGACTTTCAAATCTGTTGCTATTAGGTGATGCATGCTTATGCTCATTTGGGAGCTGGAAATCCTTACTGGTCTTGAATCTGGTGGACAGGCATGTCGTGTATATGCCTCTATCCTCAAATGTACATGTCAACCCTGCATGTTGATACTTGCCTTATACTTAATGACTCTTATATTGTGGCCGTAAATGCAACGCGAATTTAATGTATTTTTTTCTACTGGTTATGCAGACAGGAAAGTCAAAGCATTATGCTTTCATCGAGTTTGAATCTCCCGAGGTAGGTTTTTAATACCGAACTCTACACTTGACATAATCCTGATTAAGTTGCGGTGGTTTAGGTTGTATGTGTTTTTTCTACACAACAACCATGAACTTAATTTGATTTCCTAATCATGCAGGTTGCGCCTATTGTGGCTGAAGCCATGCACAACTATCTGTTGTTGGAGTCAATGTTGCAAGTTAAGGTCGTCCCCGTTGATAAGCTCAAACCTTCAATGTGGGTTGGAGCGAATAAGACATTTAAGACGATTGAATGGCAAAAGTTAGAACGAGAGCGACATAATAGGGTAAGTGAGTTTGAACTAAATAAGTTGCTTTTGATGAGAGTTGCAATTGTAATGTGCAGGCACTATGTACAGGATTCAATTATGTAATTTCGGATGTCTAAGTTCAAATGGATCAGGCTTGCATAAACCTTTTGCTTCGTGTGTGTTTACAGTAATGTTCTTAATGAATCTTGATGCAATAGGTGAGGACCCCGAAGGAGCATTCTCGCCATCTGGCATTGTTGGTGAAGAAGGATCAAAAACGAAGGAAGAAGCTGCAAGCTGCTGGCATTGATTATGATTACCCCGAATTGGCAAGCTTTTCACCTCCTCGTCCCGTTGTCTCTTTTCTTTTTTGTCCGCCTGCGGGTATATAATGAGATTCTTGCATCGTTAATAGTCTGTAGATTTGAATTCTAATTAACATGCCATTTCTGATTGCTTACTATCTGTTTGATTATGCAGGAATCATTGATCCCACTCTCATCGAAAAAAATCACTTTCACCGATGGCGATGAATAGGTGAATGCGCGAGAATAGGTCGTCATGTCGTAGCTATCGATGATTGTACTCCGTTGTTGGAATAGCAAAGGACAATCAATCCAGACAAGTCGCAGGCAGAACCCAAAGCGCTTCCTTCACCAACCTGAGGACCAATCTTTGTTATTCTAGCCTTCGCCTGCTTTTTCCGCTTCTGAAGGTCGCTTTGAAAACAATTTTTTGCAGGTGCTATCCCCAAAAGGGAGGCTAGTTAGTTGCGAGTGCACATGACACATGTGACCACTATGAGACATCGTAGCATTTCCGAGACTTGTGTGCAAAGTATTAACCATGAAGGGGTTATGCAAGTCTTGCATATTTTTCCGACACGTAGTATCTACAGTCAAGTTGCTAGAAAGCTGATTTGTTCGGAGGAGGGGGCCGATTCAAGCCTACATTTCAAGGGAGTGCTTACAATTTGTGTTAAGTGGGATCAAAGCCTAGCAAGTATATTCCACTGAATGGATGATCAAAGATGTTGCGAGATTTTGCTCTCTTTGGTGTGAGTAACTTGCTGTTTTATTCACTACTACTGCCAGTAATGTTGGTGTAGTTAATATTCACAATTTCACGTTCTATTGAGTTAAAATCTTAAAAACGTCTGAGTCAACAAACTCATCCAGATTTTTGGTTCCGTGGTTGACAATTTATTCTCAGTTTGTGGTCACGTTTTGTTAATGTAAATCTGTTTTTTTGGCTTTGTAGCGAACAGAATTTTGTGTGATGATAATAAGACTACAAATATGAAATTGGAACTCCGTGGTAGGGTGAAAAGTATTATGATTTAATGAAAAGAAAAAAATGAACTGTTGCAAACTGTACAGGACTTGGCCTAAGTTTGTAAGATAGAGAATTTTGGATCAAGTCCTGGGATTTAAGCTTAGCTGATGTAAATTTGAGAAGAATTTTGAACTATACTTCAAAATTTAACATGTTTGTCTAGCCATTGAAGTAGGCTACTATTTGATGGCTATTGAACTAGCCATCGAAAAACCCAATTTTAAATCTTGATTACATATTAAATATGGAAAAAATTATTCAACAAATACACCTACTGTCCACTCATCATCAAATAAAATAAAATTTCAACTAGGGAAAGACCAAGTAACAGTTGTTGTAACCATAACATTGAAGACTTTTGGAACACATGCAAATTAATTTATTGTTAATAAAAATGACATTTTTATTAATTTATCAAAATACAAAATACTTAGAAGATATTTTATAATACACTAGTAGAGGAATGCTAAGAAGAATCAGTGGTGTTTTTAAGCATCCATAATAATAATAACTATATTGTTATTAAAGGTGTCACAACAAATATATGAAAATGCTATATATATGTATACATATAAACACATAAATTTATTTAAACATTGACATTGTGGTTTAAGATTAAGGCTATTTTGTCTAGAATAAAAATAGTTCCATTTCAACTTCATTAACATTGATTTGAACACATTGATTTTAATCATGAACTTTTATATTAAAATCAAATTATATATTGATATGAGTATGGATATTCAAATACCTCAAAATTTGATAAAATATCATTTTTTGTTCTACTCAACCAAGTTGTGATTTTAAAGCTAGTAAGTGTTGGTTTGTATGCATTAGAATTTAGGGTTTAGTTCCAACTTGATGTATAAGTGCATGTAATCAATAGCACAAATAATGCAATAGCATTTAGATTGCTTACCAAATTACAATGCAAGAGAAATTTTTGGAAATTACTACTATTACCATAACTTTTTGCTAGTGCCACCACACCACATACCATGCTAACAACAGATAAGTAACATAGCATAAATAAAATTAAACAACATCCCATGGGATAAGATAAAGACTTTGATGGCAAACATTTGTTATAAGAATTTGGAGGAATTGTACATCTAGATGATATATCTATGAGTGTACACGCCTATTTCTTCACACTTGGCCACCTCAATTGGACCATCATGTCCTTCAACAAAGTAACTTGTCTACTCTTGTTAGCATAGTATGTAGTGTGGTTTGGTAGTGTTGTGGTGTCATTAGCTAAAGGGTGTGTTGGCAATAACAATTCCCTATTTTTTATGGTAATAAAGATTAGACTTATATGAAATTGAAGAAATTGAAGAGTTATTATTTCCATGCTTAAATTCTTTAATTAAAGTTGGAAATTTCCCAGAAAAAATGTGAACTACCACCCTCTTTGTACCAACCTCCCACCTTTAGGTGGTACAAGGTAATTACGGATCCTGATTGAAACATTATACATTCTATGTTTGTATCACAGCAAACTAACGAAATAAACAAAATAAGATACTTTCCTTTTTTAAAAAATGCCATTAGTACTAATGGATTTGATTTTTGCATGCAGAATGTGAAAGATTTTTATTGATTTGTTATTTCCAATACGGATTAGTCAAAAACTATCAGTGCATGAATATTAATAATCCACAACAAAGCACCAAAACAAAACAGAAGATTTATCAATCAAGGTTATTTGGTGACAGAGTCCGAATCTAATCTTCATTGTATTACTGCAAAGTTGGAGCACAGGCTGTTGTAATAGTGATGTATAGAATAGCTGAATAACTCGCATTTGGGGTCAAATAATACTGTTTCCTAACGATGTGCCTAATACTTCAGTGACTGCAGATCGTTGTAACAAACAATCGCAGGAACTTTGACCAGAACGCGTCGAACATATCAGAACAATGGTACACACGGATTCTAACACCGAAAAATGCTGCGATTTCCGACCATGTCAAAAAAGCGATTTCACAGCAGTATACGAAAACAGGTCCGAACTCGGCTAGCTCTGTCGTAGAACGTAAATAGGGCTAACTTCCACCTAACCAGTTAGGCTTCTTTAATGCTAAATCTCATCACCAAGTTTTGTTCACATTTCAACTCAAAAAGAAGCAGTTTTCTGCAGCTGTCACATTAAATCATCCATGACCAAATCAACTGCTTTGACAGATTCAACTATCATAATCAAATGCTCACAGTTTGCAGGAACTGCTAGTCCCACTTCTACATGTCCTACAAAACTGAAAGCTGTACCTGATGATTCATCTAAACCGGAGACCTCATCGTACTCCCCTTTGTCACTGTTTACTCTACAGGCACTCTGGCAGAGTGTAAACCTCGTGTCCGTGTGTCGTGTGCCCAATACCTACCCTCCGAAGGGCGGCAGCAACATTTATTCTGCCTGAAAAAGGTATTAGTCGCTTAAGCATGCACACAAGGTGTTATTGTATCTTCATGATCCTTGCACACGACCAGTAATAAAATGTGCAATCTTAATCATAAGTATGACTACAAAAGATAGACCTCTACTTTGGACCAATCATTGCGATGTCAACTAGAATTTTATGTAAAGACTGAGGCTTGGAAAAGAAAGGAGAGTGGTCGCTGCCTTTCAATGTGAACACCTGTTCTGGAGGGTTCTGATTGATTATGTTTCGCTGCAATTCGGGTGTCAAAGCTTGGTCCTCTGTCGTTTCGATGTAGAAACGCCGAACACTACCATACTTTTCAGCAGTCAAAGCGATTTTCTCCATGGCTGGTGAGAATGGGATAGGCCTCATGGATACCATTGCCAGCGCTATGTCCTAAACAGCATATACATGTGAAGTTCTCAAAAGGTGCACTATTTACATAGGTATGAGATAGTGTTTCTGAAAAATTTAGTGAGCTAACCCGCCAATATAACAAAAATTTACTCACTCATCGGAATGCCGGATCAAGCGGTCTACGATAACAGGAAAACGGTTGACTTGATCTATTTTCTGAACACAGTATCATAATTCATGAATTCTAAAATAGGGTCTAAATATAACAGTAAAGACCAATTTATATCATAGAATACATTCAACACCATATCGCAAAAGATGAAACCAAAATTAAGAACAATACCTTAGCTGGGCTACAATTAAAGAACAAATCCTTAATTAACGATCTGTCCAGTTCCACTGCTGTAGGAGCACTGGAAGTTCCATTTCCATACAAGAATTTCTGTGCCTTGGGCATCAAGTCATCTTCACTGTTCTCCTGCCCACATATCGGATCCAGTTAAACCTAATCACTACCTAATAAAACGCGCAAAACACACTCTTTCTAGGCCTATACATGCTAACAACAGGGTTATCAGAAACCAAGTAGCTTTCCCTGTGATGTAACATCGTTGACTTGTTAATACTTGCATCAACAAGTGAATTAAGCTGATAATAATGAAGTGAGCATGTGCACATCGTAAAACATATAACGAACCAGTGTACGATGATGTAGTACCTGCCGCACAAACACATCGAATGCTCGCTGTCCATCTGTTATCATTGCAGCAGCAACGAAGATGGCTTTAGATACTTTGGTGGGAAAGCACTCCATTGCATAGGATATACAAGCTCCCCCGATATTGTGCGCCACAAGGATCACCTGCATTGTTATAAAAGCTATCATATTTGTTATGTGGAAACAAGACAGCACATAATAATGAGCATTTTCTGCCCTGTGAATATAAGTAGATGGTCCGTGGAGATAGACACTCAAAGAGCATCCTAGTAAGAAATCAAACACGACTTCCATATCCAACTCTAAAATGGCATATAGGACTGAAAGCGCCCTTTTACATTAAAGCATACCTTTTCATCTGCTCCCAACTTTTCTAGAAAGACCAGAAGAGGCTTCGCGTATACTGCCATGCTTTTAATCTCATTTGGATCCATCGACTCAATTCCTGAACCCTTCAAGTCTACGACAGTTGCCACCAACCCAGACTCTTCAAGTAAAGCTATAGACTTGTACCAACACCATGCTCCAAAACCTCCTCCATGCACCAACACAAAATGTTTTGTTTCAATGCTTGCTTTCGCAACTCCGTCCTACACAGCAAGCAAAGCAAGTCTGGTCATGGAGCGAACTAACAGAACCTAAGGAGAAACGCAAAATCGCAAAGTTAGTACTACAAGAAAATTCAACATAGGAATAGCAAGACCGTTAAAATCACGCCCGTAGACCTAGAACTGTAAGTCTACTGTAACGTGTTAACAACTGCACGCCTAAACATATTGTGTACGAGCTACTTAGAGTTGTGGAAATGCTACTGGTGCGTAGGCCAGAATCAACACGACCTCATGCGACGAGTATCAATCCCAATTGTTCCACTCGAATCACCAGCCGAATTGACAAATCACCTCTGTTCCGATGCTACACATGCATTAACTCCAGAAATCCGCTCTTTTAAACATGAAAAAAACAAAACAAAACAAGACAACAAAGAGGGTTCCAACATGAGGTGCCCCAATAACATATCGCAAACACTAGAACGACCTCCTGAACCATCGAAAGCTTCTCATCTATGTGATATGCGTTTTCGATGTTGAAAGATCCAGGATTCATCTAAACATGAAATAAGAGCCACTACCTTACACCTACGGCGGAATTGATAGACTTGGCTACACCACTCGTCACAACTAACTAGTTGGCTTGAAAAGACGGAGTGCCGGAGGAGTTTTGTAAAAGTTACAAAAAAGAAAAAAAAAAAAAAAAAAAAACAGACCTTAGAACCGTTGACAAGCTGGCGAGGATCAAGCAGCAGGTCATCGATGTGCCGAGCACGAGTACTCGCACTGCGCTTGAACTCGTCCTTAGTACCACCTCCCGCCGACTTACCCGAGTAACTCTTCCTTGGCGGCACAAAACCACCACCCTGATCCCGATTCGACATACTACGCTCGAATCTCATCTGCGCCCTGTGCTGCTGCTGCAACGCCAGTGCCAACGCCTGCTGCTCGATCGCCCCATTCTCCCAGTCCCCTCGCTTCCGCAACCCTCCGGTCACAACCTTCTTCTTCTTCTTAGGCTCCCCTCCGCCAAAGCAAGCCATCTGATTCCCCATCGCTCTCACCTTGCTCACATCCACGCCCTCAAATCAATCAATCAATCAGCCAACCTCCCTTCCCATCCGAGCTCTACCCCGACACACCATCACCTTCTCACTCTCTTAACACAAAAATTCTTCCCAGACCGCCTCGCCATGACTTCCTCCACAAAATTCCGCTTCAGAGCAAAGCAAGCGGGAGACCGTGAAAGCTTTCACGGTGAAAGGCAAGCGGGAGACCGTGAAAGCAGTGGTGAGAGAGAGCTACGCCATAGCCAGCAACAACAGAAGCAATAAATAGACAAACACACATACACATAAAAACACTTCCCCCCCTCACACACTCTTTCCCTCCCCCTTGGCTCTTTCTATTCTGGGCATAGGGCCACGCACACGTGGTGATACGAGGCGGCGCATCTAATTCCGTAGAATGAACCCACGGGCTCGGAATTCACCTGTCCCCTTGTCGCGGAAGACATTCCTGGTCCCGCGTTGGATGGAGATTCTGGATGGAACTGCACTGCTGAAATTTTTACCGACCTACTCGTTTTGAGGGTAGAGTAGGATTTTGGGTGTTCTACCCGAATATTCTTGATATGGAATGTTAATTTATAAAAATTTCAAATGATGTTTTTAATTTCTTTGTATTAAAAAAAATGATTTGTATTTATTCAAAATATTGATAATATAATTTCGTTTTATTTTACTTTATTTTCGATAATAAAGTATAGTTTGTTTTTAGGAGAAATCATATATGATTATTATATCTACAACAATTTTGTTTCTTTCACATTCTTGAAACTCCGTCGCATTGGTTCATTTATTTTAGTTACTGTATTATGTTCTTTACTTTTTGCTTTCTGAACATTTGTAATCATTTGTGAAGGGATTGAACAACCTTCATCCTTGCATATTGGTTTACAATCTTTCAACAAATCCAACCAAACATACCCACAAATAACCACAAGAGGATAACTATGCAGGCATAGGCCTATTTTCCTAGTAAATAATGGCTGGATGAATTGTTTTTAATTCATTCATAATCTGTTTTTATAAGCATTGTAGAAAGGTTTTCTTTTGAATGCTATAGGATTTAATGTAACATTATACCATGGATTAAAAAAATTAAATGTCAAATTGAAATTCAACTGGTAGTTTTGTATATTGAACAGTATATTGAAAGGTCTTTCAAAGCTTGAGTTCTCAAAGTTGATGGTATTTTTAGTAGTATTCCAATTGTTTTTGACTTGTAAAATCTTCCAAGTAAAAACAAAATTCTTGGCTTATTGCTTGGTTACATGTAAAGTTTATTAAAAACTGTATACTCAAATTTTTGAATTAGACAACGTAATTTTTAATATTAACTTGGTGGCTAATTGCTTTCTAAATCTTTTACAATACATTTTACAAATCAAGGTGATATATTCACATGATCTTTTAATGTTTTTCATCCTCTTTCTTTTTGTTTGTAGTTTTAAGATCCAAATTATAATAAATTTTAGAAATAGCAATCTTGTATTAATTATATTGGTCATAATTAATTTAGACAACTTCTATATAGACACATCTTATGCCACACAAACAACATACCATTGTTACAAGCTTTTCAACAATAATTCACAATAAAGAAATATAAGCAACACATTAACTAATCAAAACAAACAAAACAAATAGTAAAAGCAAGATGTCTATCTAGCAAAACAACTACATGAAGACCTTTTTCACTTTTTTACTATGTTTAGCTCATATATCACTAATGTTCTTATATTGTTGTTGTTTTTTGTTTTTGTTTTTTATATCTTTTAGCCTCATTAGTCTCCAACTTGTTGAAAAACTTGTAACAATGGTGTATTATTGGTGTAGCATGTATGGGTGTCCGCATAATAAAATGATGGTGTTTAACTAGTGGTTCTCTTTATTTATAAGTTTATATGAGATTCTTCAGATTATTTTAAAAAATATATGATATAGAAAATAATATTCATTATGCATTTAATAATATGCATCTATAACTTTTTTTGGTTTTATTTTAAAGATATTTTTGGAAACATTTATTTGCAAAGTAACATTCATTTTGTATATTAAATATGCAATTATTTGCAAATAAATAAAAAATAAATAAAATTAAATATATGTTTAATAAAATGCATGATTTTTAAAATTAACCATGGAGAATAAATAAATAAACCATTACATTATTAATCAATATAATTTGTCGGGTTATAAAAGTTGAGAATCTATATTTAATATTTTTATTTTAAAAATAATAATAAATCAAAAAAATAAGAATAATAAAGAAAATTTTATATATATATATATATATATATATATATATATTTCTATATAAACAAGATATTATTATTTCTTTCATTAAAAGATATGACACGAAGAAAAATTGATAGTAAAAAAAAATATCATAATTTGAAAAAAATATTAAAGATTTGTTTACAAAGCCACACAAGGTTACATCTAATATTATTCTAATAATAAATTAATAACTAAATCCATAACTAATAACTGATATTTTTTTATAAAATAAAATCTTTTCTACTTAGCTTGTTAATTACTTATTCAATTATTTGTAAACATCAAAACATGAGAATATATTGAGAATAAATATGTACCAATATTTGAATAGTAAATCAAATGATTGGTGATCCCTCATATTAGGGGAGTTCAAATATGGTCTTTTCTGGTGATATTTCACTTAGGATGAGATCTCAAAGTATCATGCGATATTTTAAAATATTACTTGATATTTCACCAAATTATCCATCTCACCAAGTGAGTGATTATGAAATCCAAATATCAAAAGAGGTGTGGGTCAAATATCTAAAACTATGTTGCTTGCCTTTACTTTCTTCCCTCTTTGACTCCATACCAAGGGAGTAATAAAGTTTGAATTAGAAGATAATATCAAGGAGTAATAAATTTTGAACTAAAATATTTTCGATTTGATATTTCAAGTGATCCTAGAAATATCACATGATGAATCCAAGTTATTTGATTTTGTGAAAGTATCATGTTTAAATCCCCCTATTAGTTCTATTAAAATAACAATGATAGCTTTCAATGGCAATACATTCTTACTATCATAAATTTTGTTAAAATTAAAAGAAGAAAATTAAATAAAATAACTTTAGATAGAATCCTTACTAGGTTTATCTTTTATGCCATTAATTGATAGACTTTAAAAATCATGTTTTATCTTTCTTATATTCTTCCAATAAGTTATATTCTCTTGTAGTTTTAGATTGACTCTTTTTCATTAAGAGGCATCATAATAGGAGGCTATTATTATTATTATTATTATTATTTGAGATAGTAACTTAAACTAATGAAGTCATGATAAACTATTGAAGTCAATCCACAAGATAATTGAAAATGATTCATTTTAATTTTTAAAAAATCATTCACCTTATTCACCTTTATCTTTAAGTTATCTCTAATTAAATTAAGAGACAACTTTAGATGGCAGTTTTAAGTATATTCCATGACCTTAGATTCATCCTTTATATCTTCAATAAAAAAATAAAAAAAACTTTTGGAGAATGAAGAAGCTAATGACCCCCCCCCCTCTTATCCTCCTTCAATAAAGTTCTTGATTAGAGAATAAGTTTATTGATGATTTTTTTCAAATATATTCTCTTATTTTCAGACTTCTTTATTTTTTTATCTAATTGTTAACTTATCTTAAATTACGTACTGAATTTTGTTTAAACAACATCTCCCTTGTCCACTATTGAAAATTGTAAAAAACTTCCTAAACATAGATCTAAAAGTAGTTTTTTGACAAGTAAGCAACATATAGGAATAATGACGTGGCTCCTTGAAATAATTCCCCTGGCTCCCATAACGAAGTTTCGGCACGGTTGGATCAGGTTCCCAAATAGCCCTTTCCACACAGCACTGCCCGAAGGAGAAGAAGAGAAACAAACACATTGACCAAATCATGGAACCACTGTCGGGATCTCGTTATAGATGCTCAGAATGGAGGCACCCGAGAATGGAACCCAAGATCTGCCACGACGAGACCAAGTCAAAAGGCAAGGCTGGTCTTGGCCGAGCACGCAATGACTGACTCACTCGCGGGTGACGTAAGCCCTAATGTTTCACGACGGACAAAGTCTAATGGCAGGGCTCGTCCGCACCAGGAAGGAGGAAGAGGAAGAAGGAGAAGACGTGGGACGAGAACGAGGCACTCGGATGCTTGTAAATTATTTCGGAACTAGGCTTAGAGGTTGTTGATGGCCAGGAGGCTTAATGTCGCTTTGGCGCACGTTGCTACGACGCACATTTTCTTGCGATTCTTTTAGAAAATTTTCCAGCTCTTGGAATTCATTGGCATTGGATTTGTCGCGGTGCTTTTGAGCTGTGCCCTTCGAAGTGAGTGCATTTAAGCAGCTCGGGACGTTCCCCGCGGGTGATTCTCATTTTCCGTGGTGAGTTGCTTGAGCGCGTTGAGACTGTGGACAATTTTGGTGATTTCATGAGTTTTGGCCTTGGTGTGAGGTTTTATAGGGGAGGTGGAGGGGTATGTGAAGTGATGGATGGGATTGCGGAATTCGATGGGATAATGGAATCGTGGTTTAGTTGCATTGAGACGAAGACGATACGATATGGGCTGAAAAGAGACTAGATAAAACGAGACGAGACTTGAAGTGCTACGGGATTCGGAGTAAGTTGTGTTCGGAGGAGTCTATCGTGCAATTTGGTGGTTGTCGTTTGGTGATATGCAATGCGGAGAGTGTTAAGATTGGTTGATGATCAATTAGGAAAACCCTGGGAGGCTGCGATTCTGGTGATAATGTGGGTTTGGAGAATGGAGAGAATGGAGCGAGCGGGTTGTAGTTCCTGCATTGTGACGTGAATTGCAGAGTATCTTAGGAGGGTTTTCAGATTCGAGTCTGAGTATGTTCAAATTTTGTTCTCCAGACAGATGCCTTCAATGGTTGGCTGGAAGTCGGCATGTAATGTGATGTGTCTGCTGTCATATTTCACGTCACTGATAAGATTGAAAACAGAAACGACTGTGAAATTTTCACTCTTACATCAGTGATCCGAGATCTGCAACCTGCACAGAAATCACGACACTGTATATCTTATCCTGTAGAACGGAAATTCTACCTGGAACAGGAACTGGTGGAATATAATTATTTATCGAAAGTTCATCGTGCCTAGGCTACGTATGCGGTTTGGAAGGTTTACCCGTTGCTCTTTCTGATCAGCTATGGCATTCCCGAGTGCCCAGCAGGATTCGATTTCAAACACTTCAGATGAAGATTTTGGTATTCGAGCTAATTTGACGTATTCAAGATTGACCTCTTTGCTAGGATTATCGCAAGAGGATTGTCTGTTTTATACTTGTGAGGGAAGAGCCCATCCCAGGCCTTGCTGGAACTTATTGATGCTATTGACACTATTGACGCTATTGACGCACTTAAGTTCATGCAATGGTTGAGGTTTAGATGCCATCGCTACAAGTGTGCATTTTTATTTTTATTTTTATCTCCGGTTTGGAGTTTTCAAACACATTACCCGAGTGCATTTTTGAGTTGATTATTTTGTATGTTTGAATTTAAAGTTCATTTCCTGCGTCTATGTGCAGAATTCCTCCTGATTGGGTGACATCTCCTCGCACTGCATGCAACTGCAAGCGCGCTCTTCATCAATGTATTGAACTGAATGCTTTAGGAGGTCTTCCTATTGTCCTCTCAGGCTTGTTGTAATCATCAGAAGCACCAGGTCAAACAGACTTTGTTAAGATGGCAAGTCTTGCAGTAGGCCTGATTTTAGAGAAGGTAAATGCTCCTCTGAGTCTCTCTTTATTATTCGATAATGCTAAGTTTTGTGATAGTGGTTGTCCTCTCAAACATCGTGTACATTGTGATCTCTGATACTCAAGACCCACAAGTCTATGATATCCTATCTTTCTCGGTTGCTCACATCTAGTTACATAGCTCAAGAATTTCTCCAGTATCTGTCGAGTAAGTCTGATTATCTTGGGTTACAGCTACTTTCATGTTTCAAGTTTTATGAAGGGTGATTAAGCCGAGGATCCTGTCAGTGGTTCTACCTGCGTATGGACGTTTCAAAATGGAATGACTATGTATCGTCCTGTAAGTAGAGAGAACAATGTCACGGACCAAAAGCATTGGTTTCTCCTCCTCCTCCTTCTCCTACTACTACTACTACTACTAATGATAATAATAGCTTTCTATGTACTTTTAATCGTGTTGAGCCTGTTTATTCTGGTTGCTGACGCAGATTGCCTCAAAAGATAAGGATTTTCGGTATATGGCTACATCTGACCTGCTCAACGAGCTTCAAAAAGATAGTTTCAAATTAGATACGGATACTGAACGTAAAGTGTCACAAATAGTTCTTCAGCAACTGGATGATGCATCTGGAGACATATCAGGACTTGCTGTCAAGTGGTAAATCTTTACTGTTCCCGTGAATTTTTTTTCACACCCTTCTCGTTTTGGCTACATTTGTACTGTAGAGATCAGATGAAGTATAGCCTCCCACATTGCTGGGATATCGAGGGATACGTGCTGTAACAAGAAAGTTGAAAGAGTTTTGCAGTTCCTAACAAGTACTCAAGGAATGTTATCAACACAGAGGCACATTGTCACATGTTGGTTTTGTTACTAGAATTGTTCTATTTTTATTTTTGTTGATTCGCACAGCTCTTGCACGCAGCTTAGCGCCTTTGGTGAAAAAGGTCCACGAAGGTAGAGTTGTGGAGATAGTGGAATCCCTGTGCCAGAAGCTTCTGACTGGAAAAGAGCAACAGCGGGACACTGCCAGTATAGCACTGAAGACAGTAGTGGCTGACATCCCCAGTGGAAATGTCGCACAGTCCGTTGTCGTCTACCTGACCCCTAAGCTGATCAAGGGCATAACAAATTCGGTTTGTCTTGAGGCCCTGCTTCACCTTTCATCAATTTGCTATACTTGTGGCGTTTACAACTTATTCAGTGAATGCTCAAATGCACTTGGTTACCAAGTTCTGTAGGTTATCTCAAACTACGTTGGTCAACACAGGACACAAGCACAGAGGTGAAGAGTGAGTGCCTGGACATCTTGTGTGATGTACTCCATCGTTTTGGAAGTCTTATGACTATAGATCATGAGAAGCTGGTGAAGGCACTTCTCATGCAACTCAATTTGCCACGTGCTGGCCTGCGAAAGCGTGCTATCCAGTGTCTTGGTAAGTATGATAATTTATCGTGCAAGATGTGTTAATACAACTTTGGTGTATTTGGACATGAAGGAATTGTTAGTGTCTAGTTGGAGTTTGTATTCGTGTATATATGAATCTTGATGCAGAACATTGCGTATCGGGGTCTGATAAAAGTTTTCAAATGCAGCGACTCTGGCTACAACCATGTCTGACGACCTTCTCGCAAAAGCAACGGCTAACGTTGTCCAGATATTGAAGAACAAAGATGTGAAACCAGATATGATTCGTACAAATATCCAAATGATTGGGGCATTCTGGTAAGAAAGTGATCTCTCTCTCTCTCTCTCTCTCTCTCTCTCTCATTTTTTTTTTTTTTTTTTTTTTTTTATTTTTAAAAGAGCTTGGGGGATCAGATCGTGTGGTTGCGTACTTTAAGGAGGTCATGTGGGTGTGGATCATAGTGTCCTTCCGTAGAACTTTTCGCCAAACGGTTAGTTGCAGGTTGTCAGACTAGACAATGTGCTGGGAAATTTTTGTTAACATCATGCATGCCAAAAGTCTCAAATCTGGGTTTCTGCGGGCAGGTTCATACGGACAAAGTGTTTCGGGTATAGCATTTCAAAGCACATCGTTAGTAGCTATTTTGAGATAATGTAGGGATTACACTTTTGAAACAATCATGTACGGGTAGTCTCGAGTGACTTCATTAGCTTCTCCGCTCGGGTTTTCATGTTGGATGAACGAGCATGTTGATGTTACTGGTAGTTTATTATCGTTCTTCGTATTATTAAGAGTTGATGTAGGAGTGGTTTGTGTAAGTGATTTAGCTTACCCCTGGAAATTTTCGTATTTTTTGCAGCCGTGCAGTTGGTTATAGGTTTGGTCCACATTTAAATGAAGTTGTCCCACTCCTTTTTTGCTATTGCAACAATGCATCAGAGAACGATGATGAACTACGGGAGAACAGCTTGCAGGTATAGTGCTTCAACGATTGCTGCTTAGGTTAATATGTGTCGTATCCTTTTTATAACAACTAAAACAACGAAATCTATGTGTACATCAAATCAGTTCTTTACCGTATGTGTCATACTTTGGCAAGTTGGCACTAATGCTATCCACTTACCTGTGTAAGAGTCAAATAATGTGTAGCGCAGTCAACAACTAAAACAGTGTGGTCGTAACACAATAAGTTATACAATGCATCCGGTACATGAATGCAGTTCCGAATTTTTTCATTGATTTCAACCAATTTTCACTGATGTGCTGATGTGTATTCCTCTCGTTACTCGGTTTTAGGCTTTAAGAGGAAACGATGAGAAGAAACTTACGTTTAATTTCGTCAATGGTTAGGAATAAGAGAAGTAAGAGCAACGTTTCAGAGTGTTATGACGCTATACTACTGGTGCCTGAACGTTGGGGTTGCAGGTTAATTCTTGTGAACAATAGAAACTGTGAACCATTACAAACCATCATTTGATTATGTTTTTTTTTCTGTGTCTTGTTAGGCGTTGGAAAGTTTTATTTTACGATGCCCCAGAGATGTTGCGCCTCATACCGACTTGATTTTAGACCTGGGGCTGAAATATTTGAGTTACGATCCCAATTTTACGGATGACATGGATGAAGACCAGGCTGAAGATATGGATGGCGAAGAAGATGAAGATGAGTATGGACACTTCTTTCGTAATCTAATCTTTTCTTTTCTTTTCTTTCTTTTCTTTTTCAAATGATATGTGCTCTCTTTCACCCTACTCTTATCATAATGAATCTTGTAGAAGCATTTTGCAGCTTCCCTATTATCCGTTAGTCTTAAGGAAGGCTTGAAAATTCGAATGTCCTTGAGCAGAGAAAGCGCGGACGAGTACAGTGATGATGAAGATATGAGTTGGAAAGTACGAAGAGCTGCAGCGAAATGCGTGTCAGCAGTGATCTCTTCACGACCCGAGATGCTTGCCACGCTTTATGTTGAAGTATGGAGTCTTGCATTCCTTGCTCTTCTTCCTTGTGCATACTTTTGCAGAGACAGATGAGGCTCATGCATTTGTGTTGCGTAAGAACTGTGTTCTTCAAATATTTTCTGCTTTGTACTACGCACAGTACTTCAATAGCGCTGCTTGGCGATGTTTTAACAAGATTCTTATAAGTATTTCTCAGGAACTGGTGAAAGATTATATAATATTTACTGCTCATTGTTGGTGTGTGTTAAACCGCTTTGTTCTAAAATGTCTTGTTGTGGTGTTCCAGGCCAGTCCAAAGTTGATCGAGCGTTTCAAGGAGAGGGAGGAAAATGTTAAGGTACACATGTGTTGCAGCGTTCGTGTGGATAATCTCTGTAATCACGTGCATTCTCTAAACGACTCTTTTCTGTTGTCAGATTGATGTCTATAATGCATTCATTGATCTTCTTCGGCAAACGGGAAATGTCACCAAAGGCTCTGGAGGTCTTGCCAATCCATCTAGGTGTGCCCTTTTCCTTACGCTTTATCGAATTCTATCGATCTGTGCGATGGATATTTCTGCTCATAAATCCAGTCCTGTCATATCTTGAATGAACAGTTGCGATCTGCTTTGTACTTGGAACTTTTCATTCTTTATCAAAAAAAATTGAAGCGCACGCGCACGCGCACACACACACACACACACACATTCTTTGCTTTAGTAGGTTGTTATTTAAAAATCTGAAACAAAAGTATAGATATTGGTTGGGCTCCCGGGCAGGAGCGGTTGGGTTTGTTTGTGGGAAGTATGAAGCTGATGTTGTTAGGGTTTTAGCAGCCCTTTGCATATTCTGCAACAGGAAGTGCCTAAGGTCATCAAGTCTCTGAACAAACAGCTCCGTGAAAAATCTTTGAAGACAAAGGTGAATTTGAGCCCTCTTTTCTAATATATTTCAATTTTGTTGATGGTTTCTTTTGGAAAATAAGTTCTTTTTGCTCGAGTGGTTTACCTAATACAGCCTTGTTCAGGAAGGATTTTTTCATCTGATTTTGTTTGTTTCAACCAGTGAAGCTGTTGATATGCTAATGATGTGGTCAATTGTGTGATTGTTCTTCAGGTGGGGGCGTTCTCTGTTTTGAAGGAGCTAGTCATGGTGCTACCGAATTCTCTGTCTGAGCATATGGGCTCCTTAGTTCCAGGCATTGAGAAAGCATTGAATGTAAGTGACGACCTTACGATTAGAGTTTGTCGATTTTGAGTGCACATATTCAGTTGCAGTACTTATATCATGTGATGTTTTTACAGGATAAGACTTCAAATTCAAACCTGAAAATTGAGGCTTTGGTGTTTACTCGTTTGATTATGGCTTCTCATTCGCCAACAGTCTTTCATCCGCACATTAAGGTATGTTGTATTGAATTTTGTACACATAACGTGTATTAAACACTGCTGAAGTCTGCAGGCCTTTTAAAGTTCTACACTTCTGGTTTCCTCGATGGTGTTTTGTCCACTAATTAGAACTATTTAATCTGTCGCTGTTTTAGGCCTTGTCAGAACCTGTGCTAGCTGCTGTTGGAGAGAGATATTATAAAGTTACTGCAGAGGCTTTAAGAGTTTGTGGCGAGCTTGTGAAAGCAATTCGTCCAAATTTTGACAACGTAAGGACACTCCATGGACTTGGATGATCTTGTATTGCAAGTATGTATACAGTTCATATAGGCGTTGTTCTAGATTCTGCGCACTCGAGTAAATGGCTAGTCAGAATTTGAGTTCATCCTGGTTAGGTGGGTTGGTGATGTTTTTGAACTAGTTTTTGATCTCTCGTGGTAACATATTTATCGCATGACCTTGTATCAAGATAGTAGCCTTCGCATATAGTCACATCTATCTCTTGAAAACTTCTAACAATTGCCCCTTCCTTACGTTCTTGTAGCCTCCTGCCTTCAACTTTGTTCCATTTGTGCAACCCATTTACAACGCCATCTTTAAGAGGTTGACTGCTCAAGATCAAGATCAGGTTTGTAGCTTTTCAGAATGATAATGGAGTTGCGGGAACTAGTAGTATGAGGCTGTTACATTATTTTTGTGTGCTACATGCCTGCTCATGTACGTTGACAACTGAGAAAAGTGTGTACTTTTCTTGGCAGTTCTTCTCTTGTCAACGGCTAATAATTGTTAAGAACTAATATAGTGAACGGAATTACAGGAAGTCAAGGAATGTGCAATATCTTGCATGGGGCTCGTCACCTCCATTCTTGGAGATCATCTCAAGAAGGAACTGAACACGTGCTTACCTCTGTTGTTGGAGCGTTTGCGAAATGAAATCACAAGACTCACAGCTGTTAAGGTGGTACCTTTATTGGCAATCTAGAATCGATTGACTTTGCTTGATCGTAGTGTGTGAAACTTCTAGAAAGTGCTTGGACTAATACGAACATCATTACTTCGAATATTTCTCTGGGATAATTGTGTTGGAATACAGGCGTTTGCAACCATTGCAGAGTCTCCTTTGAGCATAGACTTATCCCCAGTCCTAGAGCAAGTCGTTACAGAGCTGACAACGTTCTTGCGCAAGGTATGTATCATTTAAAAAACACTTCAACTACTGTGCTTTTATTCAACGCTGTATTGTATTAAGCTGTTCACGTTGGTGTTGAAGGAAGCTTCAAAGCCTCTATACTTTTCTGAACTGGGTTTGGTTTTGGACAGGCGAACCGAACTCTGCGACAGGCCTCATTGTGCACTTTGAACTCGCTACTTACGGCTTACAGCAACAAAATTAGCCCAGCCAGCTACAAATCCATTGTCATAGAGTTATCTTCCCTAATCAGGTGGGTGCTCTTTCTCATCTGCTTGCCATTTTGTCAGAAAGAGACTGAAATCTGCAGCAATGAAAGCCTGAAATCAAATGAAGGTTAACTAGCTTTCATTTTGGAATGTAAAATTTTCTGAGGGTTTCAATCAGGATCAATTATTAACTCGAATTCTTCGATGTGCTTTTATGTGTTCGATACGCCACACGCTGCTGAGAGTGGTTGTTGTGATTACTGGTTTTGGCAGTGACGCAGACTTGCACATGACAGCGTTAACATTGGAGTTATGTTGCACCATGATGGTTGATGAAAAACACCACTCCAATGCTGGTGCTGCTATTCGGGAACGTGTATTACCTCAAGCCCTCGTCCTTGTTAAAAGTTCGCTACTACAGGGTCAAGCGTTGCAGGTAACTCTTTCAAATAGTTTTGTGTGTTTTGAGATCCGTCGTAAGAAGGTCAAAAATTGTTTCTTAAGGTTTGGCTAAACGAAATGAAAATCATGCTTGGGTCTAGCATTATATCATTACAACAATCTACTTTCTTGGTTCCTAGGTTTTCAACGAATTCGAAATGTGCCCAAACTAATGTCAGTGTAACATGGAACATGATTGATATCAGACTCTTCAAGCCTTTTTTGCGGCTCTAGTACTATCGACAAATACAAGTTTTGATTCACTATTGGAAGCTTTGCTTTCCACTGCGAGGACCGCGTCTCCTGGTGGGCCTGCCAGTAAGCAGGCATTTCATTCCACTGCGCAATGTGCAGCCGTATTATGTCTGGCAGCAGGAGAGAAAATGTGCTCTCAAACTGTGAGCATGTTGTTGACCACTTTAAGGTCGAGCGATGGAACGGATGCAGTAAGTTTTAGAACTTCATATTCAGACTTTAATGATAAAGTGATTGTGACCTTCTATTTCTTTGTTTTTTCCTGTGACTATTGGAAAATGTATGCCGAATTATAAGTTTGTACCACCGTCTTAAGAGTTGTCTGGCATGAATGTTTCCGCTCAAAGGACGATTGCATATTTTTTACAGCATTCCAATAGCTGATTACTTCTTTCTCTTTGCAGGCGCAGTTATTGTCTTTGTTATGCCTAGGGGAAATAGGAAGGAGAAGGGACCTGAGTAGCCACTCCAACATAGAAGGGGTCGTGATTAGATCTTTTCAGTCTCCATCCGAGGAGATTAAAGCTGCCGCGTCATATGCATTGGGTAATATTGCTGTTGGTAATTTGGCTCAGTATCTGCCGTTCATTCTCAGCCAAATCGATCGCCAGGCTAAACTTCAATATCTACTGCTTCATTCGTTGAAGGAGGTAAGAGTTTTCCTCTCGTCGATTAGTCATCTCCAGGTGTTTCTTTGTTTGAAAACACAGCGACGTTGATCCTGAAATGGTGGGTTGCAGGTTATATCACGTCAAGCTATGGATGGTGAAGCGAAAGGAAACATGGATTTGCAAGATGCAGATGTTCAGAAAATCCTGAGTTTGCTGTTTACACATTGCGAGAGCGAAGAGGAAGGAGTTCGCAACGTAGTAGCAGAGTGTCTGGGAAAGCTGGCTCTTATTGAACCTGAGAAGTTGGTACCAGCTCTTAAGGTCGGCTCTGCCCTATTCTTACCAGTCTAAGTCGTTAAAGTAGTCACCATCTTTATCATTTACAGTTGATAATGTTCAATGTTGCTTAGGGGAGTCATTGAATGGTTACCATGCTCTATAATGGGGGCTGTTTTTCCACTACTGGCGGGAGTAGTGCGTCTCAGGCCAATGGGGTTGGTATACTTGTTGATGCTTTCTTTATGCATTGTCTGATACATGTCTACTAAATTTTGTTGCAGGAACGTACAGCTAGTCCTTCAGCTTATACAAGGGCGACAGTGGTTATTGCAATTAAATATACAATTGTTGAGCGACCACAGCCTATTGACTCCTACGTCAAGTCGTGTATATCATCCTTCTTGCTACTTATTAAGGATGTAGACAGAGTAAGTCTTTTGTGTCTTGGCTGTACATAATGATAAGACTTTTCATAGTAGCGACTGAATGGTGTACAATCAACTATTATACCTTCTGAATTCGTCGTATTCTACGTGTATAATGTAGGTTGGTACTCTGTAATAAGCGGTATAGCGCATTGAATAGTCCCTGATAGTTGTATCAACCCCTTCAGTATGCTTTAAAACAGAATATTTCTAAACTTGACTGCTGAGTGCGTTATTGCAGCACGTGCGGAGGGCTGCAGTGTCAGCATTGAGCACAGCAGCTCACAACAAGCCTGCTCTTGTGAAGGAGTTGCTACCTACGTTATTGCCACTCCTCTATGATCAAACAGTAGTCAAGGTACTCCAACTTTCTTTCCTCAAGGAGTGTACTATTTTAGGTTAAGTGCTTTGGACGTTCTGAGAAACTGATCGTTCCGTCGTTTCCTAATGTTGCTTTACTGGGTTTTGTTCCGGTGATTCTTCTGTTTTGTTTACTCCGCGTCTGCCTTTTGTTCAGAACAACGATCTGTGGTATCCGCAGTTGTTCACTAAATTATTCATCGTTGGTGGATGTGTAGAAAGAGCTCATCAGGACCGTGGATCTTGGTCCTTTCAAGCATATTGTGGATGATGGGCTGGAACTCAGGAAGGGAGCCTTTGAATGTGTGGATACCTTGCTCGACAGTTGCCTTGATCAGATCAATCCTTCATTTTTTATCACTCCTCACCTGCTGTCTGGTTTAGCAGGTCTGTTCCAAGATATACTTCTGGTTCTCTTTTGATAACAATCCATTCGCCATGAGATAATTATTATATAGTTATCTCTGTACGTACAGGATATTTCATACTGTTGACGCGAGGATCAAAGCAGTATGTGCAGTTTTATTAACATTGTTTGAGGTTTCTATTCTATTCTATTCTATTCAGAACAAACCGTCACCACTGCTTCCTTTGTGCAGATCATTACGATGTGAAAATGCCATGTCATCTAATCCTATCAAAGTTGGCAGCCAAGTGCGGAGGTGCAGTTCTAGCTGGTAATTGCCTTCTTTCAAGTGTGAGACATTCGTGGGTTTTGATTTTAGCCTTGATGGACAGGGCAATTCAAGTGGTATTATTATTGATTTCCGTGAATGGAACATGACTTATGCCTTTGGTGTAGTGATGGATGCGCTTGTGGAGCCATTGGAAAAAACTATCCAACACAAAACAAAACCCGATGCTGTGAAGCAAGAGGTTGACCGTAATGAGGACATGATCCGAAGCGCTCTTCGTGCAATTGATTCTCTGAATCGGATAAGGTAGGCCTCACCTTCAGTGCTTGTTACAACACGAGTCTGCATTGGCGGAGCAGTATAAATATCTCTCTGGGTTTTCCCCTTCAGGAATCTGCTTAGAGAGCTAGCCTCTATTTCGTTTGCAAATCATGAGCTTCTGCAAGTTCACTTCAGTATTTTAATGAATTTTTTAGACTTTCTTAACAGTTTCTGTATCTGGCAGTGGGGAGCCTACACCTCGATTCAAGGCTTTCATGAACCATGTGGTCAAGGTAGGTTCGCTTGGAGAGAAATACAACGTGGTGCGTCATGAGAGCGACACTTTGGGTGCTGGGGACATTATGGATTTGAATTAAATTATCCGCTACTAACGTCCAAGGTCGTCAGCTACCTACAACGCTACTTATACCTGCTCCACAAGAGTTCTGATCCGGGATTGCCCAGCGTAGGTCGTTCTCTTCTAGCTCGTGTCTCAGTGGAATAGCAGGTTCACGAATTGACTGTATACAGGTGAGCAATGTGCGCAAGCATTGCAATCTGTAGGTGAATAGAATCCTTTGGTATCTACTTGAGTTGTTTTTGCGGGTCTATATATGAAAATATGAACTTCACCACTGGCCGAGCTGGCTTGAATGTGAAGTATTTAGCAATAGCTCGTTTTCTTCTCAACTTAATTTTCCTAGTGCTTCTTTCACTGTCCTTCGGTAGGTTGCGTTTTGCAAGCGTAGCACTTAAACCCTGTATGATTATATTGCAAATGCAGGGTAGTCTGTTCATTTGGTTTGCGAAGTTGAGGAATTGTCTATATCAGTATTATGATCATTTGATCCTTTTCCATAATTCAGTCAATTGTGCAGAGGGATTTCATGGAGCAGAGAGTATCATAATTGGGTATTTCTCAGTTGTCTTATGATTCGAGAAATGATGTATACTGCGTTGATATTGTTGGGCATTGTGGCAGACTATACCGGACCCTCAAAAGCTTTCATGTACGAACAGTTAACAAAGCTGTATGAATATCTCATATCAAATGTCTTCTGAGAAAATGCAAACATCGTGTATGAACTAAACGAATTGTATCCACTTTCCCCATTGGAACATTCCTCCATTAAGTGAATGAAAATATCCACCAAATTTTTTCTCTCCACCCTACGAAAACAAAACTAACACTTCACACTACATAAAGCTGAGATCGAAACTCAACATGAAGCCACACTCCCGCTCAAACAACTTCCACCCACTTTAACACATCCAAAACGCTGCACGAAACGCGGATCACATTTAGCGACCAGAACGGAGTAAAAAGGTACTAGACATTGATGATTGATTGAGATGGAGATGACAAACTCCGCTTACACAAATCTCAGCTCTATGTTGATGAGCTCCAACGGAATGAATCATCAGTACTCAAGGAAAAATAGGAGAGATCCACTAACTCACTTCGTGGAAGGACATCCCAGTGTGTGGTTCGATCTTTATACAAATACAACAAGACGGTAGAAAATCAACAACATATTCAACTCATCTTCTTCTTCTTCAGTCTGGGATTACGGTTGCAGGGGCTTCATCTGCACACTGATGTCGGCATCGGAGATGGCGTCTCGAGAGACAGTGATGGGCTCGTAGGCCGGTCCAGCGCGCCGGGGACCATGCACTTTGGCAACCAACGCGAACATCAACACGGAGAAGCAGACCACCATGATAACATGGAAGTTGAATGCCAGGTTCATGAGCGCTACTGCTCGAATCCGCGACACTTCAACGTCGCATACGGTGGATCCGTCGATTCCAGTTGGGAGGTCAAGGCGGTAGTGGCATCCCTGAGGGATGTAGTCTTCTACATAGAGATAGAGGCCAATTTGGAACAGCCAGGTGCCTTGGAGGATGATTCCCATGCAGAGCACCACGTCCACAAGGAAGAGCTTGGGTCGGAGTGCGAGAAGACCTGCCATTGCATCAACAACGAAGCAAGACCCATGACTAGAGGAATCTCCTGGAACTTCTAGCATGTAAAAAGTTAAAGAAATGGACGTTCATTGACAAGAGGTTGTTTATAGGGAAAAATCTGACGAAGTCTAGCTCAGTACCAGATGACCTAATCATCCTCAACTACTCAATAAGATGAATTCTTCTCAGCGAAGTGCACACTTTGAAATCAGATGGTTACACCGCGCGTGGAGGATAACATCCAATGAATTTGACCAATGCAAGTGCAAATTCTAAAGATGGGTCAATCTGACGGAAGTACAAGGGAGGAAACACTAAACCCTAGAAGTTTGAGATCGCTGAGAAAGGCTTGAATCGTGTTCTGGATCTTCCATTCTGGCCTTAAGATTAGCCATGACAGATCTAGGGAAAGTTTAGTACCTGAGGTGACGGCACACAAGCCCGCAATGTAGGCGAGCAGTAAGTTGCACTGACTCTCCAACCCTTGGTTCCTCGCCGATTCGTGAGTGACCGAGAGCCACTCCAAGCCGAAGGATATGCTGGCAAATAGGAAGGACGCATCCGTAGGCAGTGGCAACGCATTCGTGGTCTCGCTAAGCAACACAATCACGGCGTACATCCAGAACATAAGCAGCGTAGTGGAGTGCTCGAAGCTGGTAACTCTGTTCTTAAGGATCATCCCATCTTCAATGGCATGAAAGTTGGTGGACACGCCCAGCTCGTAGAAGATTGCTACGGGAATTAATACCACCATGAGGTAAAGCTCAATATACTTTCCCCGATTGGGCAGCCAGTTCGCGGGATACCACGCTCTGGCGACGTACTCCCGCGGCGACTTGACATAGTTTGAGAAAACTGACAGCAGATGCCACAATCCAACTGCGACGAGCACTATAGAAGGCGCGATGTGGCCTACGAGAGTACCCATATCTTTGCTCCTATGCTCGCGATTTCAAATCCCTTTGTACTCTCCCTCGTTTCCTACAAATCTAGCAGCACCGTCAAGAACTAGCCTGTTTGCTGGATCACTACACCATCTCCTCCTCGTCCGCACATCGACTCTTCTCCAAGTTCGAAAATCTCTGCTTTGTCGTGCTCTGTGAACAAATCACACCATAAGCACCATTTCACAAAATCTCATGCATCAACACCAGTGGGGTGGCACATTAGTTTACTGAATTCATTCTAATTAACACTTGGGGGGTAATACTCAAGTTTCAAAGCTCCGTCTCCACAAAAGGCCTGATCTCATCAACTTCAGGCCTGTGCTCCGGATCCTAAACAATGACCCCCTTCTAGAATAACAGACCTCCTAAGATGTATAAAGAACCAAAGAAACCCTAGACCCACCCGGTGACATAGTTATGAACTGCTTTCCGACTCATGCGGTTCATGACGTGGTTATTAAAAAAACGTAATTGAACATTTTCCACGCTTTTTTGGGGACATATTCCTCATTTCTTACCAGACGGCGAAGTTTCGAACGCATCATCCACTCCCCGTCAATCTACTCGGATCCACCTTCAGTGTCTGCCTCACCTACAAGATTCCTTCTGAGACCCAGAATTCATGATGATGTGGAATGAACCCAGGAGGTGGAAGATGAGCTGGTGCTTTGCCGAGATTCAGGGAAGCTACAGTGCAGACCTTGCTAGGTCCGATGGTTCTGTCATCAGCGTCGTTCGTCACTGACGTAGGCCGTGATGAGGCTCCATAGCATGTCATTGAGTTAGACAGTGGCACTGGCAACTCGGACGCGCTTCAAGACGGCGAGAGGAGCGGAAGAAAGAGTTGAGTACGGATCTTTCGGTTGGCATTCTATTCGACCCACGAGAGTTGACACACTCTAACGACTTCTCACTAGCATGAGAAAATCGCAGTCTGGCATGAGACACCGTCGTCTACTTTCTCGGGTTTTGAGGCCTGATAGTTAGGGTGGTTGAAGTCCTCCCAGGAAACAAATGCGATGTTCTAATCCCTTCTCTGCTTCAGTCCATCGCCGGTCACTACCGCTTACGGCTCTACGCATGCACTTGCCATCTGAAGAGGACCGCATTCTGAATTTCCTGGGCAATGAGCACCGGCTCAATTATGAGAAACAAGCTTACGGCGGGGTTTGTTCAGTTCGGAATTTTGGTCGACCCCAAACGGTGTGTGGATTGAATGGCTTCTGGGGATCAACACACAGGTGCCCTCCTGAATCGTCTCTTCCTTAGATGATACAGCTTGCATCATTAGTGACGGATTTCAGCAACTTCGGTGGACATTTGAGCATGCTAACGTCTAAACTCATCTCAGTTTCTGGCAATTTTCTAGGGTTTCGAGAATGACACAGTGTGCAGTTTGAAATCTGCTAAAGCAAGGAAAATCGTATTTTGCCCTCTAACATAACAATCACTCTTGACCTTAAAAAACAGTGATATTCTGAGGTTGAATTCAGTATCTTATGTAGTTTCGATCCCAGCATCAGCCATATTACGAGGTGGGGAGCTTTTTTCTCGAACCCTACGATGCGAGCTGGTTGTGGCAACATCGCAAGTCAAGAGAATCTAGAGTGTGGGTCATTGCCTGCTGCATATTGACGCTCTACTAAAACCTTCACAATTCGGTGCTGAAACCTCAACACAACAGCTACCTGCACTGGTAATGTTTCATGCAGTTTACCGTCAACGCTGCCATGCAACAGATTGTGATGAGGTTGGGGTTAGAGTGTTTAGGGTTTAAAGGATTTTTTTGCTTGTTAGAATAGAGTACACAGTTAGTGATCCCATCGTCCTTATTACCCAACAAGAGGTTGTAGAATCCTACAATTGCATCAAGCAGTCCAGTGAAGTATGAGGTCCTGGTTATTAGATGCCATTCTACTTATCTTTTGCAAACCCTAAAACAGTTCCTTTGGATATCCCATCTCCTCCTCTCGTTAGGGCAAAATTACATGTTTGAATGGGCAAGCTTCAATGCATGCAACCCACTTCTTCTTTTTTTCTTTTTCTTTTTTTTTCTTGCTTATCTCCTCACATCATCTAGTGGTTGTCTCTTCTTTTTTTTTGCCTTTTTCTGCTCACTTCCTCCATGTATGTTGTACTCTTCTTCTCACCTTTATGGATATGGATATGAATATATTTATTTATTTTGTTTCTTTTTATTTGTTTTAATTGCCACGGATATGGATATGCAAGCCATCAATGTCTCTCTTGCATGACATCAAGCCATCAATGCTTCCTTCATATCCATATCAATAATAAGTTGTATTTTTTTAATAAAAATAAACTAATGAATAAAAAAATTGTTTGAATTTGGTGATGGGTGTTCCATATTTTGTTTGAGGATTGATTTATTTCAAAAGTTATAAGTAGTGAGATTAGTAGCTTTGGTAGATTTTGAAACTCTTTTTTAACACTTCTTTTAATTAATTTAGTCTTATTAAATATAATTGAAGGAAATTATATTATAAAATTGTAATGTTTATTTTTTAAGTTATTATAATCAGTCTGCAGATGGAATGCCAATATTAATAAAAATGTAGTATTTTGTGATTTAGATGCAATATTTATAAGAGTTGATTAATTTGTTCCTAAAGTGATAACTTTAATATTTTGTAATAATATCAATGAGGTCTTTTGCTTGTTGTTTGATGCTTATATATACCAATGGAATTTGACAATTTGATGTCACAAAAATAATACTATTGCAATAGTTATGAATTTTATACCTTCTAATATCAAAATTATAGGTTTTTCTTTAAGAAAATAAATTCTTTAAAAACTTTCAAGTATAAATACAAAAGGTTTTGTAAACACTTTTGGATGTAAAGTCAAAGGAGACCTACTACACATTGTTCTTGATAATCTTGCCATATCTTTTGATAGCTAATGAAATTTTTTTTTTATAAAAAAGATAGTAAAGTTAGAGTTTAATGATCCTATGTATTATGCAAAAGAATTTATATATTTAATAAATATAGAACACAAAAAATGGTGCAACCTTAGGACTAGAAACTTAGAAAGCATTTAAGAGAGTATTTCAATTTTCTTAAGTCTACTAAATTTTTTTTTTGTAATACTAGTTGGTTTCTACCATGTCTAATAATCCTTAACAATTAATGTAATTAGAATTCTCATGCATCTTGCTTATACTAAAACCTTCATTGTATAAAAATAAAATATTGATTAAAGACTTTTCATCCTATACAATTAAACTATTTTTACATAGAATTAGAAATAATTTAGAGATTGATGAATATTATTATTAATGAGAGATAATCCACAAAAAGTGAGGACCATGCATAGAAGCAAGAAGAGTAGCCAAGAACAATGGAAGCAAGGAGAAGAGAGGTAGATACTAGAAATAGAAAGATAAGCAGGAGAAATATAAAAAGAAGAGATTACTTGTATTACCTTCAAGTATCAATGTTTGCCTATTTGAACATATAATTTTCATTAACATATAAAGATATAGAGCATAAAGAGAGATTTGTTTTTGGCATGCAAAAGATAACTGAGATTACATCTAGTAATTAAGAATATAAAATAAGAAAATAATAATAATAATAATAATAATAATAATAAATGTGATAATAAGTGATTATGGTTTATGTATTTTATTTTAGATTGATTTTTAGGATTTTGGATGAAATTATTTTTAATGGAAAGAATTGAGATAAGATCACATTCTTGTGTATATATTTTTTTCAATAAGATTTTAAAATCAACATTACCTAATTCAAAATAAAATATTTGTGTATTGTGATTTTAGGATTAATATATGCTTAATTACAAAATTTACATACCATATCTTTAATTATAGAAAAAAATAAAAATATATACTAAAAAATAAAATAATAAAAATATCAAATGATTTTTATAAGATAAATAATTTTAAAAATTAGAAAAAAATCCAAAAAAATCCAAAATAAATTTTACACATTTAGGTAATTTTTCTTAAAAGAGTGTCCAAAGCAACAATTAAAAGATAAAATGTTGTAGATTAAATTATAAAATATTCCATGTGCTTTTTTTAAATATAAATAATTATAGACCAAAAAAATTTAAAATTTTATAGTACAGTTAGAAATTTTATATTAAATGTTTTCTTAACTTTGACACAAGAATTACTTAGGCTTTTTACTAACTTAGATCTGCTTTATTCATGTCGATGATATTGAGTTACAATTTCATATTAAAATAAAAATTCATGTAATCTAACATAAAAAATAAAAATAAATAACCTTAAAAGTTGTTGATTTTATTAAAAATTATTATTTTTAAATCTTCCAAAATAAATATATAAATAACATAGTATTTAAATTCATGGTTCTTTTGTATCATGGAAGTATGGCATTAAACTATTGGTTTATTGAAAAAGACATGCATAAAGTAAATATATAAGTGTTATGAATTATTCAATAAATCCTATTTTTAGTGTAAGAAGTATATCTACAAATATTATCAAATTATTAAAATATAGGCATATGATTGAATTAAAATTCTAAGTATTTATGCACATCTTTTTATATGTATTTTATAAATAGATAAATAATAAAGTATCAATATACTAAATTTAAAATGAATGAATTTGACTAATAGTAATAAAAAATTGAATTTGAAATCTAATAATGTTTATGTGCAATATTTATTATTTATAAATTCACTGCCTAATTTTCATGTTTTTTTCTTTTGCGTGTAAGAACTTAATGTACCTTTTATTTAAAGCTGCTAATAATCTAATAATTTTATATATTTCATTCTCAATCTTCAAAAAAAACTCAGAAACTTATTAGCCAATCACTCTGTATGCTATAAAATAGCCATTAAATTCAATCATGATGTTTGATAATAATTTTGAGAGATAATAATTAGTATTCATCTGAAATACTACAGACAATTTATTCACAAAAATTAACTCAACTCATAGGCCTTATGAAATAGTATGACTTTGGAATAATAGGAAGGTTCACATTTATAAAAAAAATAATGATAATAATTTAGAGGTGTACCCACATGTACGTATGTATAACACTTTTCATTGCTATAACTGAAATAACTTATTTGAAAATGTCATGTCCTGGAAATAGTTTTTTAAGTAATTTGAGTAAATATTTCATAATACCTTGGAGCAGTTTCATGAACTATAAAATCAAATTGAAGTTTCGATAAATCAGATGAAAATTTTAAGAAATAGAAACACTTCTAAATTCAATAAAATATAAAGTAAGGATATATTCAATGGAAGCATCAGATAAATATGAAGTTTCTAAAGATTTACTCACTGCATGCAAGCCTAATTACGAGATTCACTGTTGACATGGTCTCAAAGATAAATTTCTAGGTAATGTACAAACTCTCGAAAAGCAAGAACCCATTTATTTATGCTGACCCCTGATACATCAGCCTGCACTAAAAACTCACAACGACAAATCATAGTGAAGAAAGCATTGGGGGAAAAAGCATAAGTAGAGCAAGGCTTTGATGGCCTTGGGACCTGCTGTTTCGGAATCCTCTTCCAGACAGAATGATATATAAAAAATATATATGGTTACAGCCTTCTGGTAACCTTGTCCACCTCGAGATCAGAATCCCTGATTATCAGTCATTACTGCAACACTGTTAAGGCTACTATTGAACACACAACTAAAAGCGAATGTTCAATGAAGCGTCAGTAACTGCAGTTAAGTCCATCCAAATGTGCATCTGCTAAGACTGATTAGTTAGTGTAAAAGATCATCATGCATGGTTTCGAAATGATTATTCATGCTTCGTGTAGCCTCTCTAAGAATGTCTTTCCTTACAAATCAATAAGTCGTGCCGCTGCTTCCACACTGCATATCTGACTGAGAGTATCAATCATGGTGTGATTATCAGAGCTGTGCTACTATCTCCTCGACACACGTAAATTTTGGTCTCGTAGGTTCTCTGGAGCACACAATGTTTGTCAGAGGTAACCATCGCTCCGAACTAGAGATGAGCTGAGGTGCTAAACCAATGAATGAATTCGACGAGGGTGGTTTCTCAAATAACTGTAATTGGTATCTTTAAAAATGCGCACGCATGATCAGATAAAGTTTTTCACTTGAAAAGCATAAATTAAGTTGCAACGAGTTGTTACCACAGATACATTTCACCCATTGAATTTCTTACGAAGACAGAAATAGGTAGTTGTCAGGATGTGAAACCTCCTTCCTTATTTGTCGAAAAAAACATTTCGCACGCATGAGTATGCAGAGTGATGATTCAACCCAGCAAGATGAAGCATGCTAACTGCATCAAAGAGTTTAGCATCTTGGCAGACACATGGTACTTTCCACGCAGCAATTTCTTTCTAATCGAATCAATAACAGACATGCTGGAATCTCGGGAACATGTCGAATCAAAACAAACAAAACCGTCACCAGAAGTCACGAAAAGCGGACTAGTTGACTACCGGGCCACAGAATTACAGTCCCCGAAATTGGATCACATGAACAATAACCTCTTCCGTTTCAAACCCTCTCGTTCACACCCATATGTTGCAATGCCGACGCAACCCTGGGCCTGCAGCAGACTGTCAACAGTCACCCAATTCTCAATCTGCCAAGTCACAAACTCTGTCGGTGCCAGGAAGGAAACGAAAAAAAGACAGCATTCGTGGGCTGCGAGGCATTGAAGCCAGGTGAGGAAACCCTAAATGGATTCAAGGTGCGCTGGTAAAACCATAACACTGCTCTCAAAACAGAGACGACACATGCAAGGGATGGTATAATACAAATAAGCCTCGAGGAATATTCTCGGCGCACTTCACCGCCATGACGGCAGCGGCAGTTAATTCGCCGTCGCCGTTGAAATTGCAGCTACTCCATGGGCCATGGCCTCACCTGCCGACTAGACGGCGATTTGTGTCAGGATGCCGTGAGCCCGCTGCTCTCATTTCTTTCGTCTTTTATGTCGTTATCTTATCTTTTTTCTTTCTTCAGATTTTTCTTTTTCGCAGAAAACGTCAAATGCATAACATTATCATGGTGGATGTAAAAACAGCGTGTTTTTTTCAATAAGTATTACAGCATGTTTTTTTATTTGATTTAATTTTATATAATATACGTACATGTATGTATGTATTTAAATATGTGTATGTATTTATGTAAGTAAGTAAATGTGTGTGCAGGCACAAAATAAGATGGTTTAGTTTTGTACTATATGAGGTATTTTTGTTGTGTATAAATACATGTTCACACACACACAATATATATACATATATATTTTTTGTTTGAAGACTTTGAATACTCAGTGTTGGAATTTTTATTTTTAATATAATTCTGGTTCTAATGACCTTTCAAAAAGTAACAAAAAAATAAAATAAAAACATGACATGTTGATAATATATAAAAAATAATGTACAACTTTATGGTGGACATAAATTTATTTGCATGTCATAATGAACATCTCACAAACATTCTCTGAACTCTAACAAAATGCTTTAATAAAATACTTAAGGATAAAATATCAACATGTTTGTAGGTTAAATTAATCTCAAGGCACAATTATTTTCCTGATAACAACATGATTATTCTCTACACGTTTAGATACAAGATAGCAACAAAACTAAGTCAAACAAAAGTTTGCAATTTTACTGATATGAGTATCACATGCAAACATATCAAATTGTTACTTTTTGCGCACTAAAATGAGGTCTTACATTATCCATGAATTCTATTTTCAGCCAAAAGTTCAACATGTACTTTTTCAAAACCAACCTTTGATTTTAGAACGAGAATAAATCAGCGTTTCCGAGGGGAGCCTCAACCCTCATTTTGGCCACAAAAAAGCTTTGAGATCGTAGAATTTGGACGAAAAAAAAGTAAAAAGAAAAAAAAAGGAAAAGGAAAAGGAACGCGGTTCGCTAAGACAGGATCCGGATTCCAAGCGTGACCCCAATCGCATCTCGAACTGACGTGGCGATAATAAAGATATTTATGTGAGGCCCAAGGATCGCCAGCTCAGCATAGCCATGCTCTGTCAAATCCGACGTGGCATCCAGCGTGCCCCTGATTGGACCAACGTTTCCCACTTGGTCCTTTGAAAAGGATGACGATGGCTTTGCTCCTTTTTTTTATATCTCAATGCGATAGGAAAAAAAACTAAAAAACTAAAAACTAAAAATAGATTAAAGTAGTTTTACATATTATAATAAGTTGACAATTTCAGAAGCACATAAGGGCTGTAGAGTCATAAGATGTTGATAAGATTTAAAATGATTTTGTTTGTATTCTCCAACATGCAAGTCTCGAACTGTTTCCAAGGACTAGAAAAATACATCATGAATTGATCAATTAAATATATAAAAGTTATTTAATGGCTGTAGGGCGTATTATTGAGTGTTTTGAGTGATTAGAACAACTAGCAAAGACACACAATGCATATTCACCATATCAACTTATTTTATTACAATATAATGACATGTTAGTAACCTTGTTTTTGACTAAAAAAGTATTCATGGATCAATTTTGGTGCAATTCATTTGGCAGTCTATTTTTTTTAGTGATTGGTAAGATCTGACATGGAAATTTTGAAATAAATAAATCAATCCAGGTTTTGATTTTAACACTGATTTTTTAAAATGTCTTGTAAAAAAATAGAAAATAATAGAAAGAAAAGAATATAGTAAAAGGAAATTATGAGTGCAAATTTGGTGAAATCAAAGTAAAACCAAATGTACAAAACATGTATGTATTTGTGTGTTTATGTATTCTTTACTATTGTTGATTTCAGGAGCAAAACATATCAAAAGTAGCGTCATATTTTATGTCTATACTCTACACAGTTCGTGGTGCATTGATAGCCAAAACATCCCATTTTATTATTAATTTAAAATTTTAATTTTACACATATAAACAAATCAAGATTTCTTTTTTAAAGTAAACGATTATTTAAATTTTTATGAGATGTTTTATAAGTGAATTTTAAATAATTTGACATATTTTAAGTAAATGATTAATTAACATTTTCATCTTGATTTATTTGTATAGGTAGAATTAAAATTTCAATATAATAATAAATTAAAATTTGTAATTGCTTGCTTAAAATGTAATGTATGAGTGATTACGTATAAAAATGGAATATTTAAAACAGTTGTATAAAAACAACTTAGTTAACATGTTTTGAGTTTAAAAATTAATGGTGGTCTTATTTTATTGAACCAATATCTACAATAGACCTTCAACTACAAAAAGGGTTATAACAAACATAGAATTTTAAAATTTCTAAATACAATCGTATTTAAAATAACAATTAGAAATTAAAAAAATTCAAGCTTCACATTGTGATTCCAAAAAATCCTAAACACTGACTACATAATTTCCTAAAAACACACCAAATATGACATGTATATTAGTACAAGGGCATTGCCCCTACTTCTCTTGCCAAATAGAAGTAGAAAGATTATCCTAGCTATCTCCAAGGAGGCAATCCTATATGGAACACAAATTCATTACATTGTTTTTGTAATGAAGATGACAAAATGTAAAACCTAACTACAATATAGAAGGTGTAGAAATTTTCTTCTAAAATTATCAACAAAATTTTAAATCAATTCTAAAACCATTCATAGACTTGATTGAGGTGGATAAATTAGCAACGAAACTTCAATATGTTCTCAAAATAAATAAATAAGTAAATAATTTAAGTCATCCACAATTAGTTTCATTGTTCAGTTCTCATTCACCATCTGACACGCTGGATTCCGCTTAGCAGGATTTGCAAGGAACATGAAGAAGGGACTTGATGTCAGAAATAAGTGCCTGTGTGGGCCCAATCCAGATGAGCAGGGACATGGGAGCATCAGGGACATGTAACATGGAACATGAAACATGTCCCTCCCTCCACCCTGTCCCATTAACCCACGTGTGAAAGCAAAGCACCCGTTCCTGCCACGTCTGCGGCCCTGAGGGTTTGCTTGCTGAGCTGGAAGCTAACATGGCTGCACGCCAATGGGCTCCACGTGGTGGTGGGTCCATTTGAAGCCATTCCAACAAGTAGAAACTGAGAGTAGGAACTTCAGTCATGAATCAAGACTGTTTGGTATAAATAAAGTATACAACGAAAGATTTTCTTTTTCATTTTTCTTTCTTTTACTTTTTCCTTTTCTCCCGGTAATTATTATTTATTTACTTCTAAAGGATTGTATTTAGAATACCTGTAAGATCCTTATTTTCTGGAATTTACGTACATATTAAACGTATGGATATGAATATATATATATATATATATATATATATTAGATTCTCATAAAGCTAACATAACTTTTATTTGGATTTGATGACTACATGTAGTGATTTGGATTAAATTCGAATGCATGTGTGTAAATATATAAATGACCAGGTTCAATGTATGAAGCAGGTGCATGCACGTGGATTTTTATTTAATTTAATTTTGTTTTTTTGAGTGTTGAAGGGATTAAAATGGTAAGCTTGAGAAATAGAAGAAGATATAACTTTCAATTCAAATTGGTTAAGATAATCCTTAAGAAATTGGTTACTTAATCCCAAGTCCATATCTAGCCTTAGAGAGAAGTTTTGTAGTCTAACAAAGGTAAGAGAAACCAACAAGTTGATTCAATTAGACTTTTGATACTCTTTTATGGTAAAAATGATTTTTATCAATTAAAAAACATAAGTAGAATATCTGACTACGATTTCCTCACGACATTTATTTATTTTCTGGTTTTTAGATGACAACTATTGCATTACATTATATATTAAAATACTTGCATAAATATTGCTGATTCATGTTTTCTCGAAATTAATAGAAACATATCCCAAATAAGATTTCCCGACACTAACCATTTTTCAGTACTTAAGATTAAGAATTCTATTTGAAACTTGAATGGAAGGATGCTCAAATAAATAAATAAATAAATATTTTGTTTTGTTTTGTTTTTTCACCTCGAAGCCACATCCACCGAACGACTTTCGTCAAGAGGGATGGAAACGATATTCGCTTATTGAGAGACGCGTACAATTATACTTTCCAACACAATACTATACGATAACACATACGATACGGGTAACGTATATCCGGAGAGACCCGGGGAGCTGGGCAACCGGCAACCAAAACCCGTACGAAAGCACATGAATCGTGAGGCAGCGACGCTCACCGAAGCGCAAAGCTACTCCTCCTGCTCAATTACTTGCTAAATGAAGCGCCGAAGGCATAACTTCAGTCTCTGCTTCTCCGCCTCCCTCGTCCTCCTGTTGTTGCTGCTCCTTTTGCTGCTCTTGGCGCTGTCTGTAACTCTCTTGAGCCAATTTGCTTCCGCTTTCAATTCATCGAACTCTTCTTCTCATTGTCGTCATCTGTGATTTCTCCTCCTCCTCCTCCCTCCTCATGCGGTTGCTGCACAACCGTTTCGCACGTTGCTTTCGCCTCTTTAGAATAATATCTTAAACTTTAAGAAGCTTGTCTTTGTTTGCCGCCTGCACTATCTAACTTGATTTCCGCTTCACCTCCTCCTTCCTATAAGTTGTTCAACATTGCCGCCATTGTGTAACTCCCTTCTTGCTTTTCTGATTGCGCCTCGCTGGTTGTGCGTGTGCTACCCCGTGCTGTCCCGTGCTGTCCCGTGCTATCTCGTGCCTCCCGTGTGGAGGAAGCACACACGGCTGGTTGGTATGTGCATCGACGCAATTGATTGCTGACTCTGATGTAGTGGGTGGATTATTGTGTTTGCCATTTGGCTGTTTCTCGGTGGAGTAATGTCACGGTTTATGCGAGGACAGGTTTGGAGTGCTCACGCGCGGGCTTCGTTCTTCGAGAGTGTTATCTCTGTTCGCTTGATCTTGTTGAGTTTTGCGACGTGGAGCTACGTTGGAGGAGTTGCGCGCTATTCCCTACTTGTTGGCGTTTCTTGTATTTTTTGAAGCAATGGTTTGATTGCTACTGCAGCTCTGCTTCTTTGAGATACGAGTGGGTGATGAGCGATCAACTGTCACGCTGCTTTGATAGCTGGTTGGGGGTGGCCTCCGACATGGTATGCACTAGAAGAGCGCAAGCGAATTTGTAATCCTTTAGAGATTTTAAGTATTTTTCACAGGCCTTTCCCTCCTCTCGAAAACACAGAACGTGTTAAATCTGGATGGCTTCCGACTGGCCGTAGGATCTGCTTGATCGTAATCCTGCCATTTTCTCTGTGTTCTTCCTCAGAATAATCTTGTGATATCGTCGAGAAACATATCAACTTTGGTCAGCTGGCTATCTGCTTCGGCTGTGCAGCGTACGGACATGACAGAATATTCGCAAAGAGATTTTGAAAATTCTTGAGGAGCTTTCCGCACATTTGCAGTGGAGCATAGTATATACTTCTTCATGATAGAACTGGTCCGGCTAAGTACACTCAGACAAGGCGCACAGGGTTTGCACGCCACGTTCTTATCGTGGTTACACAAAGGGTAGCGGAACTCGTACGGGCCCTTGAGTGTAGTGGTTTTGAAACGTATAAGAGAGGCACGCTAAAAGCCAGAGACAATAGGTACTCTAGACTTACCCAGGTTCGCAGTAGGAGATGTCAGTATGCACTTCGACGACAATGGGGCTGGTTCGGTAGACTACATTGAAAACAAGAACGAATATTTTGAGCTTGTGGGGAGCAATGGTGTTACAGAATTACAAATGTACGCAGAGACTGTGGAAGCTGATGCTGTCAAGGGGAACGAGCTACTGGACGCAGATTGCATCAGTGAAGACGCCAGCACCTCTAGCAGCTTCTCCACTCAAGGTTCTGGGTCTCGAATGGAAGACAGCCATGGATGGTGCAGCGATTCTGGAGGCAAGAGTCGAGGAATGTCGTCATCTTTGAATGCCTTAGAAGCCGTTGTGATGAAAGTGTTGGAGAGGGTGCGAGCTGCCGGATACGGCGAAGAGATGTGCAAAGAGTTCCGTGAACATTTTGCCCGTCTACCGGCTCGGTAAATTATTTGCTCTTGTCTGCTTTTTAAGTTTCGTCGCGAGGCCCTGCTTAATATTTGCTACCTTCTAACACATATGTCAAAACCTGCAGCTAAAAATTCATCAGATTTCATTCGTTGACGCAAATTCTCTCTTTCGGGTTTCTTGCATGGTGACAGGAGCCCTGAGGTTCTGGTTTTTCAACCAAGTTCCATAACTGTTGCACATGACTCAGCTTACAATTACTTTTGCACTTTTGTTTGTCCATTTTCCATCTTTTCTTCGTTATCAATATTATTCATAACTTGATGAATTGTATTCTGAACCAGAACCTGGGTCTCGATTGCATACTAAGAGGTTTGAAGCTTGTAGGTTTTCTGGTGGTCGTATATTTTTTTTCTTTAGAACGAACAAAAACTCCTACAATTACTGCAGCTCATTCGATGAAGTACGCTTGCTAGGAAGGGAAATAATAGATTCCCAAGCTACTTTCAGAATTCATGGGCGGCCAGAACTTGCCTTTTATTGTGCGACCTTGATGCACTGTGACAATGCTTAAAATGAATGCTAATGAGGCGTTGGAAATTCGGGCTGACGAAATCTTTTCTTGTGACGGGATAGCTTCAGTGAATGATAATCAACTTCAGCAGAAGAGACGAACCATAGTTTTCGTAATTGTTGTTCACTGTTGTTTACGAGAGTGCATTAGTTTTGGAAGCGAAGAATTATTGTTTCGAGTTCCTATATTTAGGGTATTTTGATGAAGCAAGTATCCATTTTTGAGTTTGTTTGAAGACTGTTCCTTCGATACAAACGCCAAGGCACAAGGCTTTTCTGTTCGCAATTGTTTGCTTCGGAGTTCTGTTTTCTGAATTGGCGAAGATTCAGTACAAAGTGTAATTCATTGGAATTAAATTGATTTGGAGTACCTATATTTTTAGAGCACTGCTCACACTGCACAGAACATTTGGTCCTAGAGTTATGGGATTTATAAATCATGTTTCTTGTGCTAGATGAGAGAAACATGTCTAGTACAACTCACCAAAAGCTTTGAAATCGCGATTCCATTGGTAAACGTTCGCAGGTACACATTGAACATTGATGCTCATAGACATGAGGATGTGTTGCTGCACATGGAGTTACTACAGGATGCACGGGATGCAGAATATGCCAGTAGCTGTAGCAGTTACAGTGACCATGCCGCCCCCGTTCCACAGGTTCACGTACGAAAAGTGCAGTTAGCGGGATTTGGATCACTTCCCAGTGGTGGGTTGGATTGCATTGCTCCCTCACCTACACATTCGCCAAGTGAAGGTGCCCCTTGGAAAGGACCCCAGGTCCCGAGACCTGCCTTCGAGTCTGAAACAAATTTAGTAGGGTTGGGACTTGGTGGTAAACCAAAACTTCAGCTGTTGGAGCCAGTATTGTGCAGGTCATCCTCAACCCCACTATGTCGGATACCTTCCCGTCACCCTCCTCTCGGAAACGCACCACCTAGCTGCAATGGGCCGCAGCACACCATTCCCCGTCCTGCGTTTGGAAACCTTTCAAACGCATTGCATATTGACGATGAAGGAATTGGGTACATCAGCGAACATGATGATGCCTCTTCACCCTTTGGATACGAAGTTACGATTGCCACCACCGATAGACAAGGGCTTATGAAATACTTCACATCAGCTTTGAGCGATTCACATCTGCAACTGAATATCAAGGTACCTTTCGTACTAGCTTCTCTTCTCTCCACGAGATACACTGTAACTATTTTGCTTCGACCTCCTTGTTCAATCCTGCATTATTAATGCTTACAAATTGTCATTTGAATGTGGAAAGTTGCTTAACCTCTATTTCATTATTTAGACTCCATCGCGAATCGCCCAGTATCGATCCTATCTGCTCTAAAGATAAGGACACGATATCCTTTAAGTTTTGTCTGCCTTGAATACACTTTTAGCCTATTTAATAGTTTAAGTCGAAGATCTTTACTAAGATCTTTTGGAATCATCTGATCGATTACAGGAAGCCCACGTATTCAGCACGATAGATGGAATGGCATTGGAGGTTTTTGTTGTGGAAGGTTGGCCTGGTGACGAGGTGAGCTTTTTCTAGCATTTTTGCGTTAAACTCGACGGTTGTATACTATTTCTCATACTCTAGTCATCTGATACGCCATTAAGAGAAAGTTATTCACCTCCATTTTTTGTAGTTTTTGAGTAGTGAGGATGGTTTTGCAGGCTGAAGAACTGAGGCATTCTGTTTTAGAGGCTTTAGAGAAAAAGTCGGAAGTAAGAGGCAAACGTCCTGAAGATTCCAAGTTGCGAGCTGCTGCTGAAGCCATTCAATATGAAGATTGGGCCGTAGATTTCAATCTGGTGCGTCAAAGGCTATGTTGAAGCAATTTCAGATTGTAGGGTCTGGTGCTTAGGAAGTTGATGGAGTAGTTTGTCTTTGTTGTGAAATCATTTATTTGTTCGATTGTAATTTTTAACCAAGGATGATTTTGTACTTTTGGCCTCTGCAGCTTGAGATAGGTGAGAAACTTGGAAATGGATCGACAGGCAGGTTATACAAAGGAAAATATTTGTCTCAAGATGTAGCAGTTAAAATCATTGAGATAGACGAATATAACAGCAGTGGTACAGACTCAGATACTCAAAGGTCTGCTCCAGCAGCAGAGCGGCTACAGATTTACAAGCAAGAGGTATCCATTATGAGGTAGGTGTTCCAGAAATCCATCATTTATAGTTTGTGTCGACGATGTTAACATACCTTCAAGTCCTACAATGAATGATAAGGTTGAGATATTGGTCTATTTTTATAAGTTCTATGACACCTGGATCAAGTGGGCATCAGCTTACGTGAGTACTTTAGGAAATTGGAATTTATACTAGTTTCTAACATGTAGAAGAAGTATTCGCACGCAGATTGGTGAGACACAAGAACGTGGTGCAGTTCATCGGTGCTTGTTCGAATTGGCCCAAGCTCTGCATTGTTACTGAATTAATGGCTGGTGGCAGGTGAAATTCTTCAATATCCTTTTCCGCTTCTGTCTGGTTATGGTTTGATTTGAGTTATTGTCCAGTGTGCGTCAAAGGCTTACGTCAACTAAGATCATGACCGTGGCTATTTGTGATGTTTTGTGAGAAACGTTATGTAAAGGTCAACAACGCTCATGGATTGTTGGCACCCTTAGCATCTCATGTGATTTTATTGCCTGTTTGTCTGGATGCAGTGTGCGAGACCTTCTTGACTATCGAAGGAGTGGCTTAGGCATCGCGTCAGCTATTAAAATCTTACGAGATTCAGCGAGAGGAATGGATTTTTTACACAAGTAAGTCGCTCTTTATTCAAAGTTCAGTAAGTTTGTTATAAAGCTTTGATTCGACGAGAAGAGTACATCCTTGAAACTTATCTTATTGTAATTTAAGGAAGACAGAACTGTGAAATATTACTGCTATTCTGAAAGATCTAATCAGTTGTTTTGAGAAAAAATGTATTTGGTTTTGTCGCTTGTAAGTAGATGGAGAATACTTTCTCAACCCTCGATTGTTTACCCTGGAAAATCGACATTGCACCTCCTAATATAGTTATCTTTTTGAATAGGAGAGGGATTGTACATAGAGATATGAAAGCTGCAAATTTGCTTATTGATGAGCACGATGTAAGCATTCTCTTTCCTCTTGCTCGTATTCACTTATTTCACGGGTTTTCTTATCGGATATATATAGTGACGATGGATTTATCATTTGAGAAAATTATCGCTGATACAGGTTGTCAAAGTGTGTGATTTTGGTGTTGCTCGTCTGAAGCCTACCTCTATCAATACTGCTGGAAAGACAACCCGTTTTTCTGCTGAGATGACAGCTGAGACAGGAACCTACCGGTGGATGTCTCCTGAGGTGCACGTCCTAGTAGCAAATATCTGTCATGGATACTTAGATAATTAAACTCAGAAAACAATAATATTATTTGTTATTGAATTTTACAATTAGTTTTATGAGGCACCTGTGTGCAAATCTTTGCATATTGTAACTAAGAACCTGGGTTTTGAAATAGTTGCTAACGATCTCTTGCCTTGTTGACTGAAGATGCTGGAACACAAACCTTACGACCAGAAAGCAGACGTCTACTCCTTTGGGATCACAATGTGGTACTTTTCAGTCCTAGATATTTTCATCTCATTAATCCCTTAGCGTCCACGGTCTGGTCAGAGTTTGCTAAATCTGAAATTTTATATCTTCATACCTGAAACAAGATCAACCTTTGAAATTCAGACGGAGAAGATAACTTAATGATTCTAAGGTAGGATTTAAGAAAAAGGTGTTAAGAAAAAAAATAGTTGTGGTGGTGGTAGTTGTAGTAATAATAATAATGTTATCAACCATAGTATTCGGATGCTGGCTGTCAGTCGGACGCTATGGGGTTAATTCCTGAAGCAAAAGTTATAACAGCGGTTTCTGTCATATATCGATTATGCTGTAATTTTTTGTCGTAATTCTTTCATGGCAGCGACTTTCCTAGATTCGTGCTTAATTGGATATTTCTGTTTGCGTGCCGGGGAATAGGGAGGTGTTAACAGGAAACATACCTTACGCTGGGCTAACTCCTTTGCAAGCTGCAATTGGGGTTGTTCAACGGTGCGTTGCAATCGCCCTTATTCACCGTGGCAATGGCTATTTCCAAATTTGTAGCATTGCGACGCTCGATTTTTCTGCTGAATGTTTTTAAGTTAAAGCTTTGTTTTAGTTAATTAAAACTAAAATTCATTGAAGCTGTCTTTTCAACAATCTCACGTGGAAGCACGATACTAAGCTGAATTATTGTTCTTGTATCAGAAGCTGTTTATCTCTTTAAATTGATTGTAGTTAGCAATTCGATGGGATCATCTACCTTGAGATGACCTCTTAGTAGCGGATAGGTTTGCATCGGTATGTATCTTTTCTTTTGGTGTACCTGAAACAATCGCCACTGTATTGAGAAGTGCTTGCATATTTGATCCAGAGGACTTCGGCCGGAATCTCCACCGTATATACCTGAAGTTCTAGCACACTTAATGCACAGATGTTGGGATAAAGATCCGGAGGAAAGACCTGAATTTAGTGAGGTAAACTTCTAATCCTCTTGACCTGCAAGTGGCGTCACTTTGGGGAGGACGAGGATATCCTTGTGCACAGAATATCTAGATTTTCATGGTTGTTCCGAGGAGGTTTTGTTCCTGATTTGGTTCTTTTTTTATCTTAGTCAGCTTGTTCCAATCACTGGTTGCTGTGTGGTTTCTTAGGGCTTGAGACTACACTTTGTATAATCCATCTTTGTTTCTTAATCTTTCATACTCATGATAATTTAAATTTGAGCAGGTACTTTGTACACTTGAGAATATGGTTATCCCGACGTCTTCGAGGAGAACAGCGTCGAGAAGGAGGTCGACAAACGCATCTTTTCGGTCATGAATCCACTTTGTATTCTACATCTATGCGATGTGAGACCACACGGAACCCTCCAATTTTGTGAATGTGTATACCGCAAGGTAACGTTTCAGATAACATTGTGTAGGTGGTAATTAATCTTCCGGTTCGACGAAAATGTTGTGTCGCACTTCGTTCCAGAGCTCGCAGTGTTCACCTGGAGGCTGTTTACTTTCTGGAAGCATTTCTGTAAAATGGCGATCCTTTATTTAAAGGAGTGTGTTTTTCCATTGGTGCTTCCAGGATGCGTTGCACATCCAGCTTTGGCATGTGAGATATTGTGTCAACATGAAGCGCACCACCCGCGTGACTAACGGTCGAGAGAAGATTGAGGTGGGTATTGCGTTCCTTATGCTTGTGTTGCGATTGGGGGCGTGTTGTAAGCAGCCATGCAGCAGGACTCAGTTCTCCAACAATAAACTGGAAGGGATAAGTGATTGTAGATCTGCGTTTTACAAGTTTTGCAATTTATAAGTCGTAGTTCTGGTCGTGACCTATGGACATACCAATTTTTATGTGTACATTGATAAACGAATAATGATTTGTTAGGGTGATTTTTTTATTCTCTAAAAATGACATCCAATGCAATGTAATTTGATAGGAAAAGAATTATGGACTGTCAAAGAGCCAATCATAAGCATTCGATAATTGAGCACATGTAAGTTTCTTGAAAATGTGTATTTTTTATAGTCTATTTATTTTGGAGCAATTGCAAGCTTTGATATGCCTAATAATAAAAATTGTAAGCTATGGTTGACAGGTATAATATCTCTTATCATTTATGAATTATGATTGTTGTCTGAATTGTAATGTTTTTTTTTTTTTTTTTTTTTTTTTTTTTTTTTTTTGTTGTCATTAGTTTGCTATTGATTAAATTTATGGTTGGTGAAAATATGATATGTTTATAATTTTCTTTGTTTTAAATCAAAATTTTGTAATTTGTATGATGCTTCATGCACTAATTTATTTTGTTAAAAATTTCTATATGATTGGTGTAATAATATAATTATTCATATTGACTAGATAGTTATGAAGACAAATTGTTCTCAATTTCTTCAAAAATGATGATTTTTAGATTTGTAATTCAACAATTTACAATGTGTTTTGACATCTCTAAGTTGGCATATTATCATAGTAACCACTGAAAAAAATAGTAATGTTGTGTGTAAATCACTGAGTTTTTTTATGATAAAAAAAGAGTTGACGGAGATTAGTTCATGTCACATAACTTTTTAAAAATAAATTATATATTATTTATCGAGTGTTCTTTTCACTAAATCCATGTTTGAATCATCAAAATTTTAATAAATACTAATATCATTGATTAAATACCTAAAAATATAATATATCACATATTTATATTATTATATTTATAACAACACAAAAAATATTAATACTTAAAAAAAAACATTTTATTGTATTAATACTGTACTCCAAAATTTTGGATAATGATTCATTATACTTAATAACTAAATAAAAAATCCAAAAGACTTTGTAGAGAATATTTAAAATTTATATTATAATTTATTGTATGTGCTTACAAAACTTCTTGTATGCATATTTTAAAATTAAAACAAATAAATTCGCATTTATATTAATAGGCTTTATTAAGTATTGTAAATAGAAGGGTATTTTCTAAACTATTAATATTAATATTAATATATATCTTACATGAACACATTATACACTACTCATTATATATATATAGCTTTATCTATACACATATGGAATAATTTTAGTTTGTGCAATAGCTAAAAAAAATTATTACAATTAAGTATAGTTGTCAACAATAGTTGTCAACTATTGTAGATGAGTGGGTACCTAATTAATACTTAGTATTAGATGAATAAAGTATCCAATCAGCTCTCTTTGCTAAATTATTGTGCTTATGGTGTGTATGTGGGTTTGCATTTCTGTGCATATATGTGTGTTTTTTTTTTAAATCCTTCACCTCTACTACTCTATTTTAGAATGGCCAACAATTAGTTGAGTGTCATTAAGGTGCCCATAAAAATTTAAGGCACCTACCCAACATCTTTATTAATGCATATGGACAAACAAAGTAAATATGGCAAATTATGAAATAGATATATATTTTGCAAAATCTAATCTACAATTTAAATAAAATTTAAATAACATTGGTGCATATTATAGGTTCAAGTTTTAACAAATTTTAAATACTATAATAAGTTCAGGTATCCTATTCAAAAGACTAGACTAGCCTACTTTAATATCCTTTGCAAGTGCCCCTTTTTGTTAAATTCAAAATTTGCTGAAATTAAGACTTTTAAGCACCATATATAATAGTTTTTCTTTAACACTCTCTAGAATTTAATAAGATTGAAGATTTAGAAGTAGCAAACAAATTGTTTTGGTTTTCCATACTAATGCAATTAATTTGATTTTTTTTTATAGATTACCAGTTCTCTTCTTTAGTGGAAAAAAATAGATTTTCGATAATTTGACAAACATCATTGTCATGTGCACCATTGACTTTTCTAAGCAGTATTTCTTTGCATATGAGAATGGTGGTTGATTTTGTTTTTTCTTCATTCAGGAGAAAGATCAACACAACTAGATTCAACATAACACAGCTCCAGAAGGTGCAACTTGAGAAGCTCTACCATTATCAACATCCCTCAAAACCCTTCCACACCGTTGCCAATACCTCTTGTATACCACAAGTAGCTAAGCCGGCAAAACCCAGTCAATACCAAACATCCACAATGCTAAACTTTTACAGCTACTGAGATTCGATCCTGAATCCACATATCCTAGCTATCTTGATTGCAAACTGCGGGAGAAAGTCAACGAAGAAAACCTTGTCGTTCGTAACTGATGCTCCTTTCTTTGCATTGTCTCTAACCTCAGCCAAACTCTGCTCACCACCATCTGGCTGAGAACCTGCACAATATGAGAAGAAGCCTAATAGCTTCAAAACCAGAGGTATTCAAAGCTTGAGGATGCTTTCTACAGAGACATTCACTTTTTAGCTCCTGCTCCTCGTAGCTTCGTACCAAGCACACGTTCCAATTTCGATATGATCTGTTGGTTGGGAATTGCTTTCCCTGACTCGTACTCTTGTACAATTTGTGGCTTTTCATTTATGAGCTGCAAGAAAAAAGATAACTGTAAGCTTCGAGGACCACCAAATGCCTGTGTAATGCACGCTGCACACTTAATAAAATACCCAGAAGTGACTACAACTGGTATCAGATTCCGTCCTGGTGTCAAATATTGCGAATTCTATACTGCCAACAATTTGATTGTATAAAAGAAGTGCGGGAAAACCTGTGCAAGTTGAGCCTGTGTCATCTTCTTATCCAACCGAGCCTGCATAATTTTTCTCTTGAGTTCTGTGGGCACTTTCTCGTCTACTCAAAAACCATGTTCCACCAGTTCAGTATTGTTCTCATAGAAAATAAAGTAAAAATCAACTGCACGTGTAAACTAAATATAGGATAAAATGGACAGATCCTAATGCCGATTACCAATGTTATGGCAATCAACAGCCTGTTTCAGTTACACTACAGTAAAAGCCAAGATGTGCTGGGTCTGAATTCCAGATAGTATTAGATACCAGAATTGTAGGAGAAAACCAGACTACCTTTTCAACACTAGACAACGGTGACACTAAGAACAAGTTGAAGTCACGAGAAGCAGGTAAACATTTTTACTCACGAGCAAGAACGTCAGTCTCGTCATCAAGCTTCTTTGTATTCAAACCAGTAGCACTGGTAGCTGCCTTGTTGGACCCAGCGTTGACTGCCCAAAAGATCATTCCACTATGAATTTAGAGGAGGAAAATATTTCAGAAATTGAGTACGAGATTTCTGTAACTGATTTTAGTGGCACCACACACAAACGTAAAAGCGTGACAATAATGAACATTACAATACGAGTTTAAGATGTAGATTCGCAAAAGCTAGGATCATAATGCAAAAAACAGCAATAAATATGAGGAATGTAAATCTCATGGAATGAATAGGTGTGGAATAAGACATATGTGCTAGGCACAAAAAGTATGCAAGCTAGAGGAAAGTCCAAAGGAGAAACGATGGAGATAAGAAAAACAAATAAATAGATTTCAGAGTAGTACATTTCTTGATAGTCTCAATTGGGCCGCCAGCTCGTCGTGCTGCATTGACTGCCTTCTCGTCCTTCTTCGCACCCGAAGTTGGAGCCTTCTTCCTGACCACCACAGGCTCCCAATCTTGTCTCAGATCAGCCATGTTGATGAATAGGTCGTAAAATAGAAGAGCTCTGTGCAGACAAGGCCTGATTATTAGTGCAAAAAAGCCTGTGATGAAGAACCATCAGCCCATGCAAGGAAAGCTGCATCGCATCAATTGATCAAGAGCTAACAAACAAATTCGATTGCACGTGGAAGGTGTTCCATACAAATGTGCCACAACATAGCTATCAGTGTGCTGCACTACGACGGTATGACAACTACAGGATGGGCACATGCTCAGCTTTAACTCCCCAATTAACTGAAACTACCAGATCCACCAACTCACACGAGCAGACATGCAACAAGTACTATGGTTTTGAATTTTCGGATCAACTGAGAAGGATTAAGTGAATGCCAATACCCTGACATGAACAAGCTGGAAGTTACAATGCACTTAACACATGTAGTGGCTTGGAAGCGACTTCAGTCAAACAATACCGCACAATCACAATAAAAGACGATAATTGGAACGAACCCAAGACACTCGAATGGGTGTACCTATAGTCAACAGAGACGAATGTATAATCCACAAAACTCGGCACGGGAGCCCATTCAGGAGGAAGACAGAAGAGTCCAGGTTGTGACCAGAAACCTCCAAAATCTCCAACAGAGTACAACACTGCTGAAAACCGCAATTCATAAGCGCGAGACACTCACAATGTCTCGAAACTCAAAAACGCCAGTAATCCCAAATCGCATTCGCAATTACCCTTTCTGAAAAAACAACTACGCAGTGGTAGCAGAACTTGCGTCCGCATCCATGACGGCACATACAAAACGACGTTCCAAACGACATAAATTCGAACCAGTCTCAGAATCCCCAATCGACGCTACAGCCGACTAACAGGCCACAACAACAACCCGAGTCTAAGCGCCAACACTTCCACGCAAACCTGCACTTGAAAGCCTGTAACGGCACTCATCCCCAGCCGGAAATCAAGCAACAATCCAGGCATAATCTGACGCATTCGAAACTATCACTCATGGGAAGACCGTCTCTCGAATTCAACACAGCCCAACTCCACAAAGCATTAAATCTCCAAGCACAGCCTCTTGCGTAACGATCCAGTTACACGAGCGGCACGGAATCGTGAAGTAATCGAACAAAAAGCGCATCGAGGCAAAACCTCACCTGCCGACAATCAGCGACGTTCCCACACAGATCGATGTTGGAACTCTTCGACAGCGAGGAGGGGTTTGAGATGAACCAGTCACGAGTCTCGGAAGCGGAGGGTTGAGGTAAAGAATCACGCGATGCGAGCTAAAATCTGTGCAAAAGCAACAACGCACATGGACGACGAAGCAGGAATCTGCGAGACGTGGGAACCCTGATACCAAGGTGGGGGGATCTGGTGAAGCTCTGCCCACCAAACCCTAATTTAGATATTCCTCGCGCATGGATGGTGGATATTTTTTTTAATGTCTTCGTATTTGCACAAAGTTCTACTTAGGCAAACACAAAATGAAACAAAGCCTAGCATTGTAATAACAATTGTTGATCTTTTGTTTCTTTTACCCATCTATGTGTGTTCATGGAGAAATAAATAAATCTAAGAATTGAACAAATGGCATTAGCAATAGTAATTCATTATTGAATTGTAAACTATTGTACATCAATAAAAATTTACTTTGATACATTACTTCTAAAGCAAAGTAAGGGGCTCCAATAATAGTGTTTAAATAATTTTCATTCTAGAAAAATTAACAAATAAAGGCATTCATTTGAAACCATATTTAAACAAAGGATGATGTTATAAAAATACAACCAAGTAGAATCAATCAGATCTACAGCGATTGTACATATGAATTGGTTTCGTAAAAACAATATTCATTTGTAAATAATCATTCACTAGGGGGGGGTTCTACGATTATGCAGTAAAACAATATCACGTTCAGTTTTAAGAGGTCATTTCAAATGAATTACAAGCATTATTCATGCCCATAAACATAACCAAAGCAGAATAAAAGAATCCTATGTAAAATGTTGTCACCTGGAGTGTTAATTTTGTGTATGATGTGTATAAAGTGTATAATGTTAGCTAGAATATGTTTTGTCATGCATTTTTATAATTGTAGTTACCTCACATATTCACAGATTTATCCTCACATCAATACCAGTTACGCGATTACATTCTTCAGAGACATTGTATGCAAAATAAAGTATTCAACTTTGATCACCAAGCTTAACACACTAACTCAAAACATCAGGGCACCACCCTCCTCAAGAATTACAGACCATTCTTAATGGATTTTTTTTTCTCTCTTTCAAGATACAAACCGTTCAGACGGACAGACCATAGAAAACGAGCATGTATAATTTTTCAGTTCGGAATGATTTCAGGGGTTCAACATTTTGAAGACCCAGCTTCTGAGGGTTTAAACAAAAATGGTTCACAAGTTGCATACATACAAAGTACAAATTTAAAAATTCGGATAAAGGAACAGATTTGTACTCAGACATACCTTACACCAAGCTAAAAGAATAAAGACATTGCCAGCTGGCCCTTCCTCTAAAGGGGGCACTTTTTACATCAAAAGGACCCTGGCGCAATCGCTGCACAAAAACTAACCTTCAGCAGCAGCACTAGCAAGAATGGAACGGGTCCTAGGACCACCCGCCTTCCGATCCTTCAAAAACCAACGCCTCGTCACAAGACCAACACGTCAGTCTGTACACTTCGGAACGAAGAACACTTGCTCTTTATACACGCCCGTTACAGCTAAACCTTGCCTCGACCCTTTCCTTCTCATCACTCTAACACTAAACTGTACCCATTAAAACGTCTTTTCCATGTCTAATTGCATGACTTTAAATCACACTACCCAGGAGAAACGAAGGGTAGGATCGAAAGGTCGGAACACAAGCACTACTCCCAGAGCTCCAACCTCCAAATATCTAGAGCCATCACTTATAAATACACCGGCCTCCGACACGAATCCACATAAGATACGTGTCGATGCGAGCTGCAACAGCCCTCACCCCGCGTCTCTCCTGACCATCAATACAATCTGAGTGTAATCCGACACCATTACACTATTTACTGCTCACAAATGTTTCCCCGGGCACTGAACCACAGCCCGACTATCTTCGGATCGCTCGCACGTTGTTTACGACACAAGAAGTTAATTAATGACAAATGAGCGAGGGAAGACCTGACTTCTAGTACTCCAAGAAACAGCCTGAAACATGTTCCTTTACTAAAGAAGTCAGCATAGGCCATGGTATCCATCAAAGATTCAATTAGACATGTTGTGTGCCATGTAGGCAGCACTCCGTCTCTCTGCACACAGCAGAAACTCCAGTCAGACAATTACGGGAGACAACGAACAGGACTAGCGGAAAACAATGGAAGGGACCAAATCACAAATGAAGCAGATTCATCGAAATCTTCGCAGAGGTATGCATCCACCTAAATCATCGATACTAATCTCTCTACACTACGCCACCAAGGTGACATACGTTTGAAGTTTAGAACGGGAAACTTACCTCCAGCAGCAACCAGCTTCTCCACGCGTGCAACGATGTGCTTGCCGTATGTGTACTTCTTCAATGCATGCAAGTGAACCCGAATACGACCCAGCAACAGCTCGCGTTGAGATTCATCACAGGTTTCCAACACCTTCTGGACCACGTAGTTTGCAAACTGGTCTTTCATCATTGCCTGCATCACATCACCGAACATCAGGCTACTCATACGCATACCGGAAACAATTGAGGCATTCACCATAACACAAATCAGCTTCCTCCACAGGTACAAATCCAAAACGAAATGCAAATATTTACTCTCATGATGTATTCAGCTGGTAGCCAATTAACGCAGAGTTTAAAATAACCTATCACACTAGCAACAATAAACTGCATACCTGAAGCGGCTCGTTCTCATCAGTGTGGCCAAGCATTTCATCGATCAATATTTGCCGTTCAACTGGACCACCATACTCCAAGCACTTTTCCACTACGTTTGATGCGAACTTATGCTGACTCATTTGTACAATTTGCCCAGCCAGCTTTGTAATAATCTCAGTTCGCTCATAATCGCGTCCATGCTCAAGCACATGCTGTAACAATCATGAACATCCACAAACAAGTATATTAACAAACCTGCTCTCATCACAAAGCATGGCTATAAGAGCCCTCTCACATTACATGAAACTACCCTCACTGCAACTGTAACCACTAACAAACAAAAACGGAAACTACATGTTACCTCCCATAAATACTAACCAAACAGACGAATCGAACATTTGGTTCAAGACAATCGTCTCCATACATGCACTCCTTAGAAAAAACAAACCTTCCACAACTTGTCTCTTCATCGGCCAACAACCATATACTGCCGACACAGCCGTCACACCCCTCACCTGTACAACATAGTTGCCATACTGGTCCTGAGCCAGCGTACATGTGGAACGTAAAATCTCTTCCATGATCCCCTTCTGCTTCTGCTCGTCCGTGCAGTGCTCCAGAACTCTCTGAACCCAACCAAATCCCGTTACCCCACCTCGTTAGCTAGGATTTCACGTATCACGTGTGCTTCTCACAAGGGCAATGTAGCAGAACATAATTATGCCAATCCCAAGAACTTACCTGGATCACCCGGCATCCGTAAGGATGAGTAGACAGCGTTACCACCTGGTTATAAAACGCAGAGATGATGAAATTGATCTTGGCAGGAGGCACACATTCAATGCACTTCTGAATGACGTGATTTCCATTCTGGTCGCGCACACACCGCATCACGTGCCCATCCAACTCCGACACCAACACCGTCTGTTGGTCCACGTCCACAACCTCCAGCGCCTGCACGCGCATCACGAACAGTTTTCAATTGGTTCCAATTACCCTATCTAGATCCTGCTCAATTTTAGTACTCATCACCACCACCAAGTGCTCGTATACCGTAGGGACTCCTCATCACAACACACAAACTTTAGCCATAGGAATGCACACAAGAAAACCATACCTTCTGAATCACTCTGCAACCGTACATCTGCAGACTCAGAACCAGAACGTGCCCCACCAACTGGTTTGCCAGCTCTCTCCTCTGCTGCTGAGTCCCGTGCTCGAAAAACTGCAAGAATCACAAACCAATGTCAATCTCTCGCCAGTTGTAAGTTTAGTCACCGAACCTTACCCACACTGAACCCAGTATCCAAATCGACATAACCCCGAAAAAAAAACAGACCGACACCCTCCCAAAAACATCTACCATTAGTTGCCAACCGATACAGTAATACCTTCCACCTTATAAAATTTCACATGCAACTCCCTCTGTACCTTTTGTATGACGTAGTTCCCGAAAACATCCGTCATCAGCGTCAAAGCCCGTGGAAGCACCTCTTGAAAAACCATGTTCTTGTCCTCCGGAGTTGCCGTCTCCAATTTCTGCTGAATGAACCTGCTTCCGTGCTGATCGACACTGCAATCGAAGAAAAACAGCTGTCGTCAATCACACTATCTTACATCTTACTCTCCAACTCCAAACGAGTGCGTACATCTCATTCGTCCTTTCAAACATAACATCCAAATTAATCGAATACATTCCACCGCAAATCTCTGATCTGCTCGCACCTGAACTCTACAACATGCTCTGTAATGTCCAACAAGTCAAATCGCCTCGTCTTGCTGTTCTTGAACTCCTCTAGCAACGTCGATCCCCGGGTCTCGTCTGGGGTCTCGCTCGTCTTTTGCCCTTGCCACCCTCCATACGTCGTGCCGCTCGCAGCCCCCATGTACCCACCACTCGTCCTCGACGTTGAGGAGGAACGCAAGTTGCGGTCATCGCGCCGTATGGGATAACTTCCTAGACCCACTGGCGATCCCGGAAGCACCGGGCTCGTCAAAGGAGAATTGTTATACGGAACTCCTGGAGGACTGCCATAGTACCCTGGGCTCACTGAACCACTCTTCTGGCTCGTGATCGGAACCCCCATCGTCCCCGTCCTCCCAAACTCCGACTTCTGCTCCGCGCCATAAACTCCCAGCATCGAACTCAACTGCTTTTTCTGTAGGTTCACCGTGTCCAGTGGATCTCCCCCCATGTAATTCCTCAACAATGAAGGATCTAATGCCGCCGCCCGTGCCTCCTCCGCCATACGTATGTACTGTAAGTACATTGGATCGTGTATCTGCGGCAATGCTCTACCCGCATACTTGTAAAGATTCTGGATGTCCACCGCTGAATGAGCGGAGGATCCAGGGACCCCAGCTCTCACGCCCATGCTCGCAAGAGCAGCTGCAGTTGCAGGGTCAAACATTGGAAGTGGGTACCCGGCCATCATAGGGGCCAGCATTGCAGGATTCACTGGATACCCACCCAGCCCATATTGCGGACCATAAACGGCCGCAGGGTTCATGTTCGGATAGTAGAGATTCTGCTGTGCCATATACATTGCAGCCGCTGCAGCAGCATACATGTTCGCAGGATTAGTATTTGCCCCCAGGTTGGGTTGGAGCCCAGCTGCCCCAGCTTGTTGGCTTGCCATGTTACCCACAGCAAACTTCGGCTGACCCCGATACGCAGGGTCTACACCCGGGTAGAGATGCTGCTGCTGTAAAGCTTGAGAATATGCCAAAGTCTGCAATCAAATATATCATAAATTTAGGTTGAATATATGGCTAACCCTGCGCATATTCATCACTGGATATCCGACCAATCCAACATGATTGCAAAGCAAAGACGTAAATATGTGCAGCTCACCTGGGCTGATTGTGCAACTTGAGCTTGTGCCTGCACCTGTGCAGCAATCTGAGCCCGTTGTCGATGCTGCTGTTGCTCCTGCTGTTGTTGGAGCTGTTGTTGCTGCTTTTGCTTCATCTCCTTTCCCTCACGCGCAGCTATGGCTTCTTCCATATCAGACATACTCAAACCTTTAAAAGCTGCTTCAAAATCCGCAGTGCTCGCACTAGCAGACCTGTTCAGCTGCATTGCAAACTGAGCGAAATCCGCAGCACTAGCACTTGAGGCACGACCCAGCCCTACGCTCCGTGCATCAGAACCCGAAAAAGACAAATTCCCTCCAGACAATCCTGAAGAGATAATGCCACCAAATTTTCTCATAAAATCGCTCACAATGTTCAACATTCGATTGGAATTCAATCCCACCACTACATAACAACTACCGAAAAAGAAAAAGAAAAAGAAATCTCAATATAATATAAATGGAGTCACATACACAATTTGCCAATTAAAATGGTTTGAAAAGAGTCAACACCTGGTACAGAACCCATCCTAGCCAAACTTGGACTGGCAGAACGGACATTATTTGACAGGGAAATCTCAGGTGTGGGTATCCTAGGTACAGGTGCTGCGGGTCCCGAGGCTTGGTGCAAATTCGATACACCAGGAATGGGGGTGGTACTCCGAGACCCCATCCCGTTTGCCACAGCATTCGCCTCTCCCGAAGCCGACTCTCGCAGGTGGGCCAATTGCAGGTCTAGTACCGCATTTGTGGCCTCATTCTCATCATTTGCAGCTCTGCTCGACGACCGAGACAAGTGAAACACAGGCGACGGCGTTCGAGGAAAATCCTCCTGTACACAAACGTATTTATTCGTCACACCTCATATCTCAACCAGCAATAATGACATATCTCCAGAATTGTAACCACCATTCTAGTACTTCAGCCCTGTAGCACCAAAAAAGCTTAAACTATGCTCCTAAATTTTTGCAAGAGACAAGAACTGAGATTGGGTTACAGAACTCCAACCCTCGATCATCGACCAGTCAAACAGAGGCCCCGAAGGTACAGTTTCTGCATTGGCTTAAGTACCTGAATCATATCTACTAGGCTCTTGTTACGGGGGTGGAACTCCGATGATAGACCCATAAACCCATCTCCTCTATCTCTCTCTGCCCAATCGCTAGACACCGTTCTCGCAAGACCGCCCATCGGTGAGATCTCCTCCTCCTGAACTTCTGGCTCCTCCCTGTGTGTCGGCAACACTGGCTGGGTTGAAAACAAAGACCTGCTGCTGCTATCATCCATCGATCGTAATTTCTTCTTGTCCCCAAATCCACCCGATCCCATCCCGGATTGCAACCTCTGTGCCAACCGATAGTTGTTCCAAGATATCAACGGTGGTGGCAACCTCGGATTCAGGTTGATATTGCTGTAGTAATATACCAAGTACCTAGGATCTGCGCGCTGCGCATCCTCGGCATTCAAAACATCTTCCTCCCCTGGCTGAAGGTTCGGGGAACGCCCACCTTTAGGGCTAGTTGGCAGGTCGAACATCCCACCCATCGCTGCAAGCGACCCCTCCACACTGGGAGGAGCACTGCCGCTTCTTTGCGGTACATGTCCAGAGTTCAAAATGTTGTCGAACTTTGTCCTTCCTTTCAGAAGACGGCCCAACTCCGTAATTCCATCCAAATCCTGTGAGCTGCCATAACCACTTCCATTCCCAGACCTCAGACTCTCTCCGAGGGCTCGCGAGTTCCCTCTTTCCCCCCCAGACATCATCATAACAGGGCTCTCCGTCATCATTTCACTATACACTGGACATCACAACGTCACACAGCTCAGAACGACATCAAGTTAGTTCATTTGCCGAAAATGTATTGCCCAAGGTAAGTTGCTCCCAATAAAAACCTCTGAGTGGCTAAATTATTGCCAGAAGTAACCTACAGTGCTCTGAGTTTCTTCCTGATATACATGCGATCCAGCTTGGCACCTCGCACCTCTGCAGTCAGGCCAGGCCATTAGTTCGCGCGAGGAATACTGGAATTTCAACAAGTTTCTCGTGAATTCATGTCCATGCAAATAACGTAGATGCTTTTAGAATTAACAATCGTTAAGCTCAATGTCAAGAACAACCTCTACAAGACATCATACTCTAGTGTCAAGGTAGCACACACAGATCCCGTCGAAGTTGTTAATGCCGCTATGGTCCGAGCTCTTGCAATCTCACAGCCCCAGAACCACTAAATTAAATCTACAACCCACGACCCCTAGTAAGGAGCTTCCCGTTTCAGCTTGAATTCACACGGAACGCAATATCAAAACAAAAATAAAAATAAACCACTTCTACTCAAACCACCGCAAACTCCCAAAAGGAACGCAAAAAATTACACAAAGATAAATACAAACAAATAAATACCGAAAGCCAGAGGGAAGGAGTGGAGTTAGGGCACAAGAACCCAATAGCGCAGAGTTCAAATTCCCCGAGCTACCGTCATCCATGCACAAACCTTGCAACACCGAGCTCATCAACAGCGCCCCTGACTCGAACGCTCCCAACGACCCCAACTCGCCACCACCACCACCCAGTAATGCCTACAGAACGAACCCCCCTAGTTGCAGTCCCCGTAGCAACAAGCGACGGCGAAACAACGAAGAAGTAAAAATAGGAGGTGGGCGGGTGAGAGGGGGAAAAGAAGAAGAGCAGTAGTAGTAGTAACGGGAAGAAAGAGTCTCTCTGAGTAGCCGAGAGAGAGAAATAGAGAAGAGAGACAGCGAGCGAGCAAGGAAGGCGGTCGGTCCGTCCCGGTGCCTCCCAGTGCTTCCTCGTTGGTCGTGCGTGGCAAGGGCAGCGTGACGGGGAGCATGTCCTTAGATGTGGCGACGACGACGACGGATTCATTCACAACAGCAGAAGTACACCAACAACACTCTCAACATCCCCCCCCCGCCACCAAGACGACCCATCTCAGGTGAGCAACCACACTCACTCCATCACTCACTCTCTCCCTTAGTGCAGCATTGCGGCAGGCAGCGCCACGCCCTCCGATGCGCCATCGCACGGCCTTTCATCCCCCAGCTGCCGCGATTCGGCGTCGCCGTCTTTAGGGAAACCGAAGTCTCGTTCGTGGCCTCGTCGTCTCGTCTCGCGGGGGCTTGCGCTTCGGCGAGGGCCTCGACCCGAAAAAGTAAACATTTCCGAAAAGTAAAAAAGCATTGCGTAGCCGTACGATTGAGCTTCCCATTGCGTAGCCGTACGATTGAGCTTCCCATTGCGTAGCCGTACGATTCCACAGTCCTCCGGTGAGGATAGCCCGTTCGATTGACTTGCGTCGGCGAGCTTGGGGTCGGCTTCGATGCTTGCGGCGGTCACGGGTTTGGGTCGTGCTTAGTTGTATGACCGTCCGTGGGGACCGAAGCCTGTTGGACGGACTTGGCCTTGGTCTTAGGGAATTGTTTGTTGTTGGGTTGTGGAACACAACTCCGCTTGCAGTCCAACTATTCCAGTGTCCACAACCACGGTAAAGTAATTTTGATCGAATAATTGGTTTTTTTAAAAAAATTGGGAATTAGTTGTGGTGATTTGTATATAAGAATTGCATGGACAAAAAACTAGCCAAATTTGAAATAATACACCTAAATCCCAAATTTAGAATATTGTATTTAACAATGAATGTAAGTACATAATGTACAATAAAATTATATAAATTAAAATTGACTTTCTTATGCCATGTAAATTTGCTTTTGAATTAGTTTTTTTATCGTATATTTTTTACACTTTACACTACGTGATCATAACTAATATTATTGAGAATGTTTGGAGAGACACAAGATTAGTTAGAAGTAATGTGTACAAAAAAATATACACTCACACACAAGAGGGAGTATATTGATATGATTATCTCATTTATACAAAGAGAAGGGGAAAAGATAAAGAGTTTCTTCCTTATACATTCCAAATACTATAGCTATAATATTTATTATAAACTATAATAAATATTATGGAGAGCATCAACTACATTTAATACTCTCAACAGTCCTCTTTGGTCATCATAATATTTATATAACATAAAATTTTCATAGAATTATAATCTATATTTTTTTGTAATCTCACAAGATCAACAGCTATTGCTTCATTAAAACCTTATTATATTCAAGAGTAAAACCATAGATAAAGAAAAAAGAGTATAACATCATTTTAAGAGTTCATTACTTTCTTGCTCAAAAAAAGCAAGTCGCCACATGCCAATGCCATAAGTAAGTCAATAATGGTTGAACACATAGAGAGTTTGGTGAGGAGATGAGTAAGATTATTTGTAGATTTAATTTTCTTGATCTTAAGTATTTGATCACTAACCAAGTGATTGATACAATTAAAATACTTTGGATCAATATGCTTTGTCTTGTCTCCTTTAATGAAACCAACTTGCATTTATGCAACATAAGTGCTATTATCTTCATATAAGATAGTTGGAGAATTATCATATCAAAGTCCACATATTCTCTGAATGTATTTATCAGTTGATTGCAACCAAATACATTCTTGAGATGCTTCATGTAAGGTAATAATTTTTGCATGATTGGATGAAGTTGTAATCATAGTTTGTTTCATTGATTTCTATGGTATTGCAACTCTATGTCTTAAGAATACATAGCTTATTTAAGATTTAGGTGTTGTAATATCAAATTTATATCTTACACCAAAATATTCAACCAATTTTGGATCTACAGATCATGTATAGTATAATCCTAAATCTTTAGTGCCTTTTAAATAACATAATAAATATTTGATGGCATTCAAATGTCATAGTATTAGACACACATTGTGTTTTATAAGAATACTAACTGTAAATATAATATCTGATCTTATAGATGTGGCTAAATATAAAAGTGCTTCAATTGCTACGAGATATGGATAAAAATCTCCTAATATTTCCTCCTCCTCCTTGCACGAGCAGTATGGATCATAACCATTACCATCATATCCAACCATTAGTGTAGACAATAAATAAGCATCAATCATATTGAATCTCCATAAGATTTGTCTAATATATGTTAGTTGGTAGAGAAAAATACTACTATCTATGAAATGCATAATTTGAAGACCAATTTAGAAAGTTATTTTTTCTAGCATTTTCATCTCAAAGTCATAGATAAGTAGGTTAGCACCTGTAATGATAGATCTAGTATCCATTAGGTTTAGATTACTAACATATACAACAATGATTATAAAATTAGTTTTATCTTATTTGATAAACAAACAAGGTATTAGTAGATCACTAACAAACTTATTTGTAATTAAATAATCTCAAAGACATTCATATCATGTACATCTAAATTTTTTTAGACTATACAGGGCCTTAAGTAATTTAATACCATGATATTATTCTGGAGTAGGTGTATTTAGAATTCTTATTTCCAAACTAGGTAGAACTTTCATATAAATATCTACATCAAGAAAACCATACAAATATTAAGTTATTACATCTATGAGAAGTATCTCAAGGGTAGAATGAATTGTCATTCCAATAATATATGAGAATATAATTGAATCCATGACTAGAGAATATGTGGATTTATAATTAATGCCAAATTGTTGGATAAATCCTTCAACAACAAGACGAGCTTTATAGTGGATTATTTAATCATTAATAACTTATTTATGTACTAAAATCATCTTATATTCCATACAATAAGAAGTAAAAGTGTCTATGATTAGACCAAATACTTTTTTTTTATGCAAAGAAGAATATTCCACCTTGATGGTAGTTTTTTATTTTAATTAGTTAGAGCAATGCATTGTTTTTTTGATGGTTTGATGTCCGAGATCCTCTTTCTCATAAAAAAGAATTTTTGCAATCATGAATACAAATAATTAATCTATTATAATAGATGGTCTATCCCAAATGTCCTTTGTACCATAATATAGAATAGATAATTTTGTACTCATCTAAGTTTTATTCCTCCTTATTTCAAGATTTTCTATTGTATGAAGTGAAGGTATAATTTTCATGGATATATTATCATTAATTAATGCACCTGTAGGTTTAAAAAAAACTTCGACAAAAAAAATACCAAAATCTCTATATATTATAGCATTTTTTTTTATGGTTGCTTATCTGGTCCATGAGTCTTTTTAGTTTTTGAGGTTTTAAAATGAGATATATTAATTAGTGGTATTGCAATTTTAGCATGTTCATTTTGAGTCTCATTAATTCAAATTCTCATAATTTGAAGTGCATCATTGAAGCTATTACATGTTTCATCTATGATCCATTTTAGATACAAAATCTTAGCAATTTTAGTTTCAACCAAAGATGTTCAAGGATTATGATTCATTTTAAATGTTTCGGGTGCTCCAAATTCAAGTATTGTAATTCTTTGTTGATTAAATATTCCTCTTTAAAGATATGGGAATATGTTTTCTTCAAATCATCAATTTTAAAAACGTGCACGTAATGATATAATAGTTGATGGATCAACAATAAAAATAATGTTGGATAAATCAAAACCAACATATATACCGTCTCTTTAATGAGCTCCAATAGTAAGCCATTGAGGTTTTTGTACTCAAATCCAACCATGGCAACTAAACACTTGTAAGTGAGATACATTTAGAATATGACCTGAATGAACTCTTATGGTATAATAATTTCAAGAGAAGAAGCATAAAGGCATATTAATATTGTAGCATGCAAAACTGCATGACTGTGAAGGACATATATGAATAAATTTGAAAAATTTGTGTCAAAAGAAAAATACCAAAATAGAAATAAAGTAGTATGTATATTAAAAAGAAATTGGAATGGCTATTGCCAAAAGATATAGAAACTAGAGACTCTTAAATCTAGACTAGAAGCAAGAAAAGAATTGATAAGAGTGAAGGAGGCTTCACTCTTGCCTCTATATATACTATCTACTTAGGATCTATGTGACGATGTTCTATAGGACCTCCAAAAATATGTTGATTTTGCATGACATGTACCTTGATTTGCAAAGCACATTTTCTATATGGCCACCATATAGTTAGCTCATTTCATAAGCTATCAACACATATGACACATGGATAGCTTGTTGAGTAAGTTTCCAACTTATCAATTGACTACAAACATATATAAAGTCAAAACATTGTCTATAAGGCTTTTAAGAAGCTTTTTTAGAAAGTGTTATAAAATTAATCTACTTTTACCTAATTCTACCTATCTAAGTAATAATTATAGTAGGTATATATTCGTGATATTACCTCCTTTTTTAGAGACGAGTTCCATAAAGAGTAGTGATCATATTTTGAAGTCTAAGATGCAATAAATGATAGCTCTTAAGTTTGTTCCACTCATTATTGGTTCTCCATCTCTTTGATGCCATAATTATATAGAAACTACAAACAAAGATAGAAGGTAGAGTACAATCTTTTCTAAACTGTGTTTCATTTATAGCAAAGTTTTGTTATCTTTCATCTTAGTTTTGATAGATGTTGATGATGAAAAGCCTTTACCATCTTTGTTGTATTTGGAAGATTCTTTGTTGGCTTCCAAGTGCATTCACTAATATCATATCCGTATCAATGGACAAGATATTCTAATTTATTTTGGCACTGATTTGAGTCTAGAACTGCTTCTACTTCAAATTCTTTATTATTATTTATTTTTATAAGAGAAGGTGGAGATTTTCTTCTTCTTAATATATTCAGAGTCTTGTATAGTTGAAGAAGAGACATATAGAAGACATGATGGATCTTCATTGACTCCAATAGATATAATTCATAAGCAACTCGATTAATTTGTCCACAAATAGAAAAAGATCCAAGTCTATGGTAGTCCAACTTATTACAAGGACAAATAGTCTTGATATTATAATGAAGTAACCATACCTTATCACTTACATTGAATTGTGGTTGTTATTTTTCATAGGTATCTGCATTGATCTTTTGTTCTTCTTTAGCTTCTTTTAATTGCACCTTCATTGTTCTAAGTAGTTTAGACAAATAGTTTACCAAATCTTCCACTAT